ATTTTCCTGCTTCTAGCTCTGTCGACTTTCTTTTTATTTTTGATACATGGCTCGATAATGATATTACTTGCCATGAAGTTTTCCTATTTAATGATTTCGTTGTAGTTTCTTGCTGTGGCAGATTCAACGGAGTCCACGGTGGTGATCTCAATGCATGCCGTAAAGTGTATTTTTTCAATTTCCTTCATTCCTACAGTTTTTATCCTTTCAGTTGTTCAATTGTCATCAAACTCAATCACAATTTTTTGGCTTGATGGTTGTTTATAATCTCCCTCTCAGTTCCAACTATCAGGTTGAGTCATATACTTTTATAAACGCTGCTCAAAACCAACATGACGAGAGGCTCAAACACATCGGTGGCTCCCCGTCAGACCAAACTGTGTTTGCTGTTCTAGGAGATTTCAATTTAGCTGACTTCTTTTGGAGCTCAAACTATGCATCTTCTGAGTATACGATGAACATTTTGAGCGCGTTTGATGATCTCAATCTCTTTCAATCAGTGAATTTTCCGACTATTTTGTCTGGTAGTGCTCTAGATGTTTTCTGGTCGAACGATTCACAGAGATTTATTGTCTACCGTTCAGAGAAAACCTACTCAGATCATGATCCAATATTTGCTCATTTGCATGTCTCTGGTGATGAATGTCTTACACCTGATGTCTCAAAGAAAATATATTCAAAGAAGCGTTTGAGCACGGAATGTCTTAGTTGTTTGTTAGAACCTTTTTACACCAAGTTGTAATCAAATTCTCAAAGTGATTTCCTCTCCATTTTTGATGTTTCTACTAATGACTCGTGCCCTAAAAAGAGTAACAGAAGACGTAATTTTCCTTATTACTACCCTTCTCATTCTATTCATACGGCCAATAAACTCAGAACTCTGCGACAGAATTTTGTGTCAAATCTGTTTTATGTGACTCGGTTAGAGAGTGATTTCACTACATCAGTTGTTTTGGATGAAGAGTTGCTTTTTCAGAATTTTTCTTCTTCCTCTCCTTCTTCGGCTTTTAAATTCTTGGAACATTCTAAGAAGTCCCGAATCATTCCCCACAACCTATATTAGAACATTAAGCAAGCTAACTGTGACGAATCAATCAGTGATCTCTTCAACAAACTTTTTTGCTTCTGTTTTCCGGAAGCCTGTGTCTGGCTATACGGTACTGACTGTTTCTCCTGATTCTGATATCAAACTATCGGAAGTCGTTTTGTCTCTGTCAGTTGTCAGTTTATGTTTACAAACCGTTAAAAACACGTGTTCTGTTGACTGTATTCCTGCTTTTGATTATAATTAGTGTACGTCGTTACTTTACCCTCTTGTTATTTTTCTTTTTCACATTATTATCAACACTTGCGTCTGGCCTGCTGCCTGGAAATGTGCTTTTGTTACTCCAATTTTGAAGTCTGGGTCTGCTAATGATTTTACAAACTATATGTCTATCAGTATCTTACACCCTCTTGGTTTACAATTTGATAAAGTTCTCTTGAACCATATATATCCTAACATTCGAAAAAAATTTGTCAAACTCTCATCATGGTTTCAGAAAACAACGAACAACTGTAACACAGTTGCTATCATTTCATGATGAAGTAAACCACACTAGTGATTTCAACGTTCCTTCTGCTGCTGTTTGTTTTGACTTTAGTAGAGCCTTTGATTCTGTTCGTCATGATATCATTCCAAACAAGCTATCAATCTATGGTTTCGATCATGATTTCTTGTTACTTTTTTCGTTGTATCTCTGTAACCGAGCACAGTGTGCTCGTATAAACGCGCAGATTTCCAATCCTCGTCCTGTTACTAGTGGCGTTCCTCAAGGCAGCTTCTTTTTCTTCTTTTTATCAATGATCTGCCAGAGTGTATAGAGTTTTCCAGATGTTATTTGCTCGCTGATGATTCCAAGTTGTTTACTACTGGTATTACTTTTCTACAGCTTGATATTGCTTCTTTTACAAAATGGTGTACTGCAAATGATTTATCGGTCAATCACGAAAAGTGCAGTCTCATTTTATTAAACGCAATTTTCTTTTCACTGTCTCTCAACCCACCAAGCCCATGTTTGTTAACATGTGTATCAAGAGTATCATTTGTTATGCATCCCCTGTTTGGTTTCCTTCATTATGTTATATCCGAAATCTTGAAAATTTCAATCGAAAGTGTCTGAAAAGGGTTATCGGTTCAATGCCCTATAAAGACCAGTTTTTTCTCATGAAAACTCTGCCTATCTGTTACCGTCTTATTTTCATCGATGTTTCACTGTTCTACAAAATGTCACATGGTCTTACAGAGCTGCCATTTTATGCGTATTTTTTTTAAGGTGACCACCAGCCGGAAGACCACCACCCTCTCCACAATTCAAACAGCAAGGAAGTGGCAGACCGAGAAGTTCTTCTTTCTTTGCGTTGAGAAATCCGTCAACGAATTGTTACGATTTGGTGTAGACATCTTCGCTCCCCTCGAGTATTTCAAGAGAACAGTCAACGAACCTCTTTCAGAGGGAACTGTGTCATTGTTTGATGAAATGAACTCTTGTTCATGGTTTCTTGAATTGCAGCCGTTCAAACGGTCGATCTTGCCTTGCTTATTTTTTTTTTTGATTTTGCATTAATTTTTTAATGCAATTATTTCTTTCATCGTCATCATCCTCATCATGGGTGTAAAAAACTGAAAAACCCAAATAGCTCACACTTCATTTAGTGCTAGGAATTTCAAAGTGTTCATTCAAACATTTTCGCACATTTTGTGCATCATCAGGATAATAAGTTTCTTATAAAATTTACAAAACGATCAAAGATCTGAAAAACCGAGAATTTTTCGACCAATCAAATTTAAACAACTGTAATTAATTAATAAATATCGGTGTGTGATTCTTTCAATTATTTATCATTTCTCGGTTCTGATGCTGCCTTCTCTAAATTTTTCTTTCCCTCAATGATCTTGTTAAAAGTTTCAAACACTAATCTGTCCGACCAATTATTCGGATATTGAATTTCAATCCATTGTTCCTCATTTTTTTCCATTGCCGGTCAAAATTTTCCCATGTTGAGTTACTTCTGAAAATTCAATGGACCGTCCCTTCAATAACGTTTCTTTTGTATTGATAAGGTGCGCAAACTCTCAAACTCAGAATGGTGCCGGCATCAGTGGTTTTTTGGTACTAACCACATGTGACCTTTTTCCCTGAATCCACGTTGACATTTAAATCCAAAAAGGCCAAATAACCGTTATTATCAAGTTCTTTTGTGGTGAACTGCAAATTTGGATGCAATTTATTTGCAGCCTTGAGGACTACCCGAGGATCAACCTTGACTTTTCTAACTATGTCGTCCACATATGTTTGAAAAACTTCAACACCATTCTCAGTCCGATCTGCTTGTTGTTTTTTTGCAAGTCCTGCAATACCATACTGTTTCAGCGATGTCTGCGTATTTAGATTCTGATATGTTAGCACAATAATTGATACCAATTCAAGTAAGCTTCGAATTCTACCCCTTCAATTCAGTTTGTCACCTTTTTCTGACATCCAGGGCAGAACTCCTTGATATCCTCATTTAGCACAGTCAATGTTGGTACTTCTCTCATTAAAGCAGGTTCGTATTCTTTGAGACACAAATTTGCCGGTATTACTGCAAGGGAGGTGCCAGTTGCTAAACCGTCTTTTGTACATACCACAAACCATTGCATTTGAAGTGTACTTTACTCATTGCCAAATTTAGTAATTTTTTCAAAATTTTGCGAGATATTTCCGGAGGATCGGTTTGCTCATATAATCTCCTCAGGGCTATTTCAACAGCTTACTTGAGCGGGACATTAGTGTATAAACTCTTCATATCAAGGGAGATTATACTCTCATCAGAGTGCAATTCTGTTTTCTCCAAGATCTCTGTACATTTGAGTGTTCGTTTCTTTGTTAGCCCCTCAATTTTATCAAACTATTTTGATGATGTTTTATTTAGGTGGTCATATGAGCTACCAGGTAAAGAAAGGACGGGACGAAGTGGTGTGCCTTGTTTGTGTTCTTTTGCCAAACCATACAGCATAGCCGGCTGCGCCCCCGTTGATCTCAACCTAGTATACAGCGCTTCGCTAATCTCGTCCTTTTTCATGGCGAGTAATTCTTTGTCTTTTTCAATTTTTATAATCACGCTGTCTCAGATTCTTCCTCTCACTAAATTGTTCTGCCTAAATTGTTCTGCATGTTCGTTTAGTGCAATAATCGAGGAAGTAATCTCTGGATCGACAAGTCTCTGGATGCTGTGTAAACTGTCTGAAGATCCTAAATTGTTTGGTAACAAGGCTGAAACTGTTCGGCTGAAATAATTCTTTAGAGTTAACGCGGTTGACTTTGCACACTAATATCTAGGGTTCCAGTCGCGGCCGAACCTTGTTGTTTTTCTGTAATGAACTGGGTTCCAATCCCGGCCAAACCTTGTTTTCCAGGGCTTTCAGCTATCTGCTTGGGTTGTGTCCGTTCATTTGCAACGTAACGTGTTTTTCTTGAGCTGTGAGCAGCTTTCATCTTAAATTAGTTTTGTTATTTGCAAATGTACGAACCCTAACTTTGTTTATTTCTTTTGTTCAGCTTAAATGGTTCCGGCTTATATATTATTGCCTCATTCAACCTAGTTTGTTTCGTTTGGAGAGTAATGATTGTTTAATGTGTTTATACTTAAGGTCGCTTGTGGTGCAGAACTTCAAGCTCAAATTTTCATATGACAACAAATGCTCATGGCCTTTTTTTGTTTTCTACTTGATGGACATCTACTCACGTATTGTAGTTTTAGTGGCTGATCGGTGAATTGTTTCTCTGAATTTAAATTTTCTTTGTCAAAAACTTTTTAACTCATTTTCTAATCGCTATCTTGCAATTCTACACTTAAGTTGTTTCGCAAGTGGTTTGAAGTTCCGCTTTGAGTTTGTGTGATTGATCTTTAACAATCTAATCTTGATAGATCGTACACTAATTCAAAACCGGAGGATGCTCTCAGATATTATGTATTTCAGAAAATATCAAAATGATGCTTAAATTGGCATGTATCGCAATTCTCATTGCCGGACTTATGGCGGCGGAGATGTCAACCTACAAAGAGGTTCATCCTAGCCCTAACAAATGTGCAAAGCAATGCTACAGTCAGTTTTCTGGCAAAGATGATGTAAGTACAAAATAACTGGTTTATATGATTATAATCCGATTATGTTTCCGAGAGTACATTAGTTGACTACATATCAGAGTTCAGTAGCCAGAACTTTTTCAAACTGAGACTCTTTAACATCGTAGCTTATACTTGTTCCAAAAGATTATAGCGAAGGTCCAGCAGTTTTTTTAGTGTTTGAGTTATAATGTTTGCTGGTCGAAATATTTGTTGGGAGGCGAATTTTATGGAAAGAGCCCAAGTCGTAATTGGTTTTGCCGCGGTTTGTAATTCTTACCTTGAAAAATTTGCCATGATAAGAAGAGTCAAGACCAAAGCGCATGCCAGTTGGTGTTATAAAACTCAAAAACGATTTCAACATGTGGTTCGTCACTCATTAATATTTTTCTTGACTTTCTCTTTTCCTTTTAATGCTACTTCTTGGAGATTTATTGCTAGTGTTTGCCTCTGTGTAGAATTTTTATTTTTATACCAGCTCAGTTTTCTATCCAAGTCTGGTTTTTGAAGGTTATTCAGAGTTGTTTAATGAGCCTTGCGGTCAATCTTCTGTTACAGGACATAGAAGTCGCAACTTTTTGATGCAGAAAAATGAACTAAAAACTCTTCACGTTTTTGTTAATTTCTTTTTCAAGGTACATTGAAGAAACGTTGGCATGTGATAGATAAAACTATTTTAAAGAATCTAGACTGATCAAAAATTCAAAAAAAAAATGTAGTTGAAAGGTTTTTTAGCCATTCAATCACGGCTGGCGAGACAAGTGTAGTGGCTGTTGATAAATCACGTACGCATAAGCGGGTCGAATTTTTCAACTTTAATTGTCCTATTTTTGATCAGGTTAGATTGTGTTAAATAATTTACTTCATCAGATGTCAAAGTTTTATCACTATCTTGAGTTGTTGCAGCGAAATCACCAAAAACGTGAAGAAATTGAAAGTTGGCTATTTTTGTCCTGTGACTGCAGCTTACTGTTTTTTTGAACAGTCTTGAGCTATTCATAGATAACTTCGCAGCTTTTCTCATTCGATCTCGTCCCTTGCCTAAGAGAAATATAGAATTTTTCAATTGCAAACGTAACCGTGGTCAACATTCTGTGCCACTTGCACTGCATCTGGTTCCTATTTATAGTTAATGCCAAATTGTGGCAATATCTTTTTTTTTCAACGAATCTAAAACAACCTAAAACTGCTCATTTTGACGTCGAATTTCATCTTATTACTAACTTTCACACGTAAAAACGGTTTCTAAAAACTAATTAACCTAAAATGCTATAGGTTGACCGATTAAACTGCGCAAGCTCTCCGATATAGCCAACAATTTGTCATTAACTATAATTGCGTTTTAGGGTTCTAAAGTGAAGTGTGAGTCTTGCTGTGCTGGATGTGGATTTCTGAGTGCCATTGGCCTTACGGAGGTGAACGATGAAGTTGGAAAGGAGTCAGCTAAAACAAGCTGTTATTCAAGTAAGACATTTAGGCTAAAGCACCTGTCATTCTAGAAAACGATGTTAATATTTTCCTAATTATGCATTGAGAGAGAAATCGAACAAAATGTTCAACTTAAATCTTCAAACGAATATGTTTAAATGGATGAGTGAAAGTATTTTTTTTGATGTTTGGAATTTTAATTTGATGAGCCGTTGACAGCTATTCATCATTTTAGCCTGCGAGAAGAATAAAAAGGACTTGGACAGCTGTCACGCCGGATGTGACATAGAGTTAGGATTTGCAGAAGAGGAGCTGAAAAATGTAAGATTATGTTTTCACATGTATACCATCTAAAAAAGTCTGGTGATGGTTTAAGTTGTGAATGCCTGAAAAGCCGATTTTTGCATTACAAAGATCTAGCACTTGAAATGTGATGAAGCGGCCTTCAAAAAATTTTGAATGTTTTTAACTGACTGATAAGATCCGGTGAATGTGATGCATAACCTTTTTTTATCTGACTGATAATCACGTGATGCATGTTCGATTATCGTTACGTTTTTCTGAAATCTTCGAAATATGTTACATCGTCACAAAACTAATTTATTGAACTTCTTATTTTAAGTTCAATATGAATTTGCTTTAACAAAAAAACTCAACTAGGCTTACGTACGCCTATAAAACTGAAACTCGATTTTTTTGATGAAACTCGGTTTGAAGTTCAATATTGTTGTTGAAACTATTGAACAGGAAAAAGTCTATATAAAACGAGTTTCTAGTTTCGACAAGGGATGTGAATTTTCAGATTTCCCAGCAGAATAAAAAATTTACCTTTTGAACCAGTTTTTTTCTAATTGTGTAACTTATCAAAAAAAGTGTCGATCATAAATTGTTCTGAACTGCGAAAAGTTTCAAAGCCATACATTTTTTGATTTGAAGCTCGAAAGTCAAAAAACAAGTCAGTAATTTTTGTTACCTTTGCGTTCATGGGCTCTGTGCAAACTGTCTGTTGGCTATATTTTTTTGAAGTTCTAAAATTGAAATTTTATTTAAATCAATCAATTTTCCCCTTGTCTTTTGCCTTTTTTTAGAGTAATGAATTTAGTAAGTATTCTTGCTTAGATTCTGGTGATTTTGTGTTTTTTTTTTTTCAGAAAAAAGTCATTTTTTTCATGGTTTGACTATCGATTTCCTTTTAGGTTCACTTCATTTTCATTGTTAAAAGGAAGGCAATCTCCACAAAATGTAACGATCACAAAAAAAAACGTGATCGACTTCTTATTTTGAAAATGGAATTCAATTATCAGATTTCTCAGCGAAATAATTTTTTTCTATTGATCCAGTGTTCTCAAATTACTGCTAATTACTACACCACCAAGTATATCTAACTATAATTGTGTTAATAGCAATATAGTGAAACTCATGATAAAATTGTTCAATTTTTTTCTGTTGTTAAATGTGTTCACATATTTGATCAATTTACTTCCTGAGCTCATGAAGTTTCAGATGCTTATTTAGCTCCTTGCTAGCAGAGTTTTTGCACATGTTTTGGTCGACAAAATTCCCGGATTTGATTCTGGCCTGGAATTGTACTTATAACAAATAGAATTTATTTTGTTTTGTTTTACTTGTCATTTTTCTTAAGTTGTCTGATTTTTCCAGCTAAGTTGTAAATTTTCCAGATTACTCTTTTGTATATTTTTGTTTTTCTTTTACCTTCCTTACTGCTTAGATTTTCCAGCTTAGAATTTGTAAATTTTCCAGCTAGCTCTTTTGTATATTTTTGTTTTTCTTTTGCCTTCCTTGCTGCCTTCCTTCCTTAAATGTTTCTTCGGTTCCTTACTGCTTAGTCTCAGAAAGGCATAGTGCGAACTTTTATTTTTGAGGTTTCGCGTGTGATTTCAAGTTAAATTCGAAATGACTTTCTAAAAGGAATGCAATTTACGCTCTCTGGACACGAAAGAACAATGGTGTAAAAATAAAAATATTTTAGTTTTAAAAGTGGATTATAATTTTCATATATGCCAGTGGAATGCAGAAATACCTCTTGAATTAAATTTTTCTAAGTCAGTTAGTTTTATTACACTTGGGAGAGCAGTGTAAAGTGTTTTGTAGTGGGTAACTACATTTTTTCACCGTAAACGTTCCTTGCAAGTTGTCAGAAATTGAGAACTTGCTAATTATTGAACCTTAAGATTTTCCAGTCTACTTCACACTTGGTCTAGAGGTATCGGGGTTGCCTTTGCGCCACAGTGACTGCGGCGGGGGCGGGCCTTGCTTTTTCAGCATGATATAAATTAATTCTGGGAGAAATTGAATGATTGGAATTTTGTTTGTCTGCTTATGTTATGTCGGCTAAGTTACCACATCACGGGTTTTGCTTTTATAATAAGCAGTTCTCCTCGTAATTAAAAATGTTGATTCATTCCTCTAATTTGTAATTGTAACCCCTGACTATAGTTAGCTTGTTTTTTTTCGCTCAAAAGCTATAAGTTTATATCGGCCTTAATGGCGTTGGCTAATGTTTTTGTTGGCTTAGTGACCTAAGTTGGCGTCGTTTGAATGGAAGAAAAAGAAAAGTAAGACAATTCAGGCCATGTGAGGTGAAAAAAATCAAGTTTTAAAATTTAATCGCTCATTTTTGATGACAATATTTTTCATGCCATTTTTTTGTTTTCGGCTCAGTGGCCGTCTGTCCACGTATTTTCGGCTTAGTGGCTAATCTGTAAAAACTGAATGTTTTCTTAATGCTGTTGGTATTACTAAGTTTCGACATTTTTTTCTAAAACTTAGTTTACCATATTTCTTTCTTTTCATTTGTTTCCGTCTCGTTTGTTTTTTTTTGCTAGCTTGCAATTCTACGTTTTCGATGAATTGCTAGTGATGCGGAGTGTTGCTGCGCTTTTTGTGTGAAAAATGTATGAATCTTGAAAAGCTCTTAAAAATCAAAGAGCTGTTACTTGATTTATTATTTTCTTCAAAGCTTGAAAGTTGAGAAAAGTTCAAAGGTGAATCAATCAGTTTTTTGTTTGATTGCATTGAGTGCATGGACACTTGCAACATCCTGTTGACTATGTTTCTAATTGATGTGAAATCCGAGAAAAATCTTCAATATGACATATCACCCGATCCTCCACAGTATTTTTTTGTGGAACTTGAATTTGTTACTGGTATTTCGCATTCGTGCTTTTTCTCACTTTCGGTCTTGAGAACAAAAATCAGTTTTTTTTTCACGGTTGAAATCGTACTTTAGAGTCTTCTGGCTGTTATTCTTCGGAATTTTTTTGAATTGTTGTTTATTTCCTTTTTACTCCGATTGAAATCGAATTTTGGCTAATTTTTTTCGCGTTCTCATGTGGTTCGGAAAGTTAAACAAGTATCTCACCATGTTGTGATACATAGTATCTTGTCCAATTTATTGTTTGCTGGAATATGATTTTCTTGGAAAAAATATTCTGCAAATTGTCATACGCTTCGTAAAATTACAATATGAAATTGTTTATAACAGCAATTTTCATATAATAATTAAAAATCTTTTTATCCTAAAGTTTTATTTCAGTTTACAACATCGAACGTCATTTCAAAAAGGTATTCGTAAACTGAAACTCTGGAAAAGTCTTAATTTATTTAGGCTCAAATTTGTGCAGGCTCAAACTCTGGAAATGTCTTAATTTGTTCAGGCTCAAATTTACTTTTTAGCGGTTTGAATTTTGATTTCTTTTCAAGTTTAGCTCATTTATTTGTTAAAAGGAAGGCAAAATCTACTATCAAACAGCAAAAAGGTGTTAAACTGCAAAAGTGTAGGTCTAGTTTCGAAAGTTATATTTAATTTTCAGATTTTTCAGCGAAATAAAAATTTTACCTATTGATCGTTTTCTCAAATTGGGTTAATTTTAACAAAAAAGCGCCAATCATTAGTTCCTGTTTGATTTATTAAACAGGTATTATGAAAACGTTTTTTTTTTTCCAGATGAGATCTGGTTTTTTTTTTTATATATTTTTTTTTTTTTTTTTTTTTTTTTTTTTTGAGACGTTTTTTCGAAAAATTCGCTTTCCCAAAAAACTACCCGTCAGATTCTCATAAAAGTGGTACCAATGGATTCAGTAGCGTTTCACCTACCTGCATGCATGAAATTTCGGGCAATTTTTACCCTACCCCACCCCCTACGGTCTTAGAAAAGCTTCACAACTCGGTACTTTTTTCACTTATTGCCCATTTTTTCGGAAATTTTCGATTTCCTCAAAAACTACCCGTCCAGATTTGGGATTAAGGGTTTAATCGATAGACCAGGTTGTAGGAAACTCCCCTGCACAAGCGGCTGGTCCCTAATTTGCTTAGGGGAAGAGCTTTAGACTTAGGAAAAGTCACTTTTTTGATTTTTTTGCCTATTTTTCGGAAATTATCGATTTCCTCAAAAACTAACCATCCAGATTTGGGATTAAGGGTTTAATCGATAGACCAGGTTGTAGGAAACTCCCCCGCACAAGCGGCTGGTCCTTAACTTGCCTAGGGAAGAGCTACAGACTTAGGAAAAGTCACTTTTTTGACTTTTTTGGCCTTTTTTCAAATCTTTCCGATTTCCTCAAAAACTACCCGTCCAGATTTGGGATTAAGGGTTTAATCGATAGACCAGGTTGTAGGAACCCCCCCTACACAAACGGCTTGTCCCCAATTTGTCTAGGGGAAGAGCTATACACTTAGGAATAGTCAATTTTTCGGTTTTTAGGCCATTTTTTCAAACTTTTTCGATTTCTTCAAAAACTACCCATCCAGATTTGGGATTAAGGGTTTAATCGATAGACCAGATTGTAGGAAAATCCCCTGCCCAAGCGGCTGGTCCCTAATTTGCTTAGGGGAAGAGCTATAGACTTAGGAATAGTCACTTTTTTGATTTTTTTGCCTATTTTTTCGGAAATTATCGATTTCCTCAAAAACTACCCATCCAGATTTGGAATTAAGGGTTTAATCGATAGACAAGGGTGTAGGAAACTCACCTGCACAAGCGGCTGGTCCTTAACTTGCCTAGGGGAAGAGCTATAGACTTAGGAAAAGTCACTTTTTTGGCCTTTTTTCAAATCTTTTCGATTTCCTCAAAAACTACCCGTCCAGATTTGGGATTAAGGGTTTAATCGATAGACCAGGTTGTAGGAAACTCCCCTGCACAAGCGGCTGGTCCCTAATTTGCTTAGGGGAAGAGCTATAGACTTAGGAAAAGTCACTTTTTTGATTTTTTTGCCTATTTTTCGGAAATTATCGATTTCCTCAAAAACTAACCATCCAGATTTGGGATTAAGGGTTTAATCGATAGACCAGGTTGTAGGAAACTCCCCCGCACAAGCGGCTGGTCCTTAACTTGCCTAGGGAAGAGCTACAGACTTAGGAAAAGTCACTTTTTTGACTTTTTTGGCCTTTTTTCAAATCTTTCCGATTTCCTCAAAAACTACCCGTCCAGATTTGGGATTAAGGGTTTAATCGATAGACCAGGTTGTAGGAACCCCCCCTACACAAACGGCTTGTCCCCAATTTGTCTAGGGGAAGAGCTATACACTTAGGAATAGTCAATTTTTCGGTTTTTAGGCCATTTTTTCAAACTTTTTCGATTTCTTCAAAAACTACACATCCAGATTTGGGATTAAGGGTTTAATCGATAGACCAGGTTGTAGGAAACTCCCCTGCCCAAGCGGCTGGTCCCTAATTTGCTTAGGGGAAGAGCTATAGACTTAGGAAAAGTCACTTTTTTGATTTTTTTGCCTATTTTTTCGGAAATTATCGATTTCCTCAAAAACTACCCATCCAGATTTGGAATTAAGGGTTTAATCGATAGACAAGGGTGTAGGAAACTCACCTGCACAAGCGGCTGGTCCTTAACTTGCCTAGGGGAAGAGCTATAGACTTAGGAAAAGTCACTTTTTTGGCCTTTTTTCAAATCTTTCCGATTTCCTCAAAAACTACCCGTCCAGATTTGGGATTAAGGGTTTAATCGATAGACCAGGTTGTAGGAACCCCCCCTACACAAACGGCTCGTCCCTAATTTATCTAGGGGAAGAGCTATACACTTAGGAATAGTCAATTTTTCGGTTTTTAGGCCTTTTTTTTCAAACTTGTTCGATTTCTTCAAAAACTACCCATCCAGATTTGCATAATGAATGCATAAGCTTCTCTTTCACTTTTTTTGCGTAGGAAGGGCGCTATCGACTTGAGAAACCTGAAACTTTAAAACATTTTTAAAATAATCAATATTAAAATAATCAAACAGGTCTCTCCAGCTTTCAGCTGGGCCCCTAGTTGTTCTTGAAAATCAAAGTGCTTTAAGGGCATCTATTTTTTCTTTGAAGTTCAAAGGTTGAGGTTTTGAAAAAAAAACTAGTCGCCTTTTTTTTCTGTTTACTTGCGTTAATTAACACTTTTCCAACTGTCTGTTGGCTAGGTTTTGAAGTTTCACATGTAGGGATAATATTGGCAGAAGTACTTTTTACAAAACTCTTTTTTCACCCACATGACATAGGCGGATTTAGGGGTGGGGGGGGGGGGGGGTTTGGCGGACGCCTCCCCCCCCTCAGGGATTCGACCCCCTGCCGACCCAAAGGGTCCCCCCTTTGATACTTTTTCAGAAATCCATTTTTGCCAGACCGACCCTAAAATTTTTCTAAAGGCGCCTTCGGCGCCAATACATACTAACTTTGAGGGGTAGCGCGCGCTAAAAAAACGCGATTTTTTTGTCAAAATTTTTCAAAGTGCCCAAAAACGGCTTTATTGACTGTTTTTTCAAAAATTTGCCTGTGACGCAAAAAATTTAGTCAAAATAGGGGCAAAACAGTGCTTTGGGAATTCCGTCACAATTAGATCAATTTGGTCGACCTAAAAAAAAAGGTCGTCAAAATTTTGGAAAATTTTTTGAAAATCCGCCCCCCCCTCCCCCCCTCGAGAAAATCCTAGATCCGTCCCTGACATAAACATCAATTTAATTAGGCCTCATGTCAATTTTGATTGCAATCGGATCTTGTGAACATAAGTTTTGTAAATGCAAATTTGCAGGTGGAGGAGGGCGATGTATAAGAGCTAAAGTCGATTGTTAGCTGCAAACCGATAGAATAAACTGACTGAATTTAGCACGTGTTTCGTTGGCAAATATGGTTTCACGTTAAAATATACTGTTTGCGGTTTAAAAATAGTTTTGTCTGAATTTTGTCACAGTTGTGTTGAGTTGATAATGTAGCTTTGATATTAGCTGAAAAACATCATTGGTAGTATGATGCAGTTTTCATGTTTCGTGGTTTTCATGCATTTAATCAAAGTATTGATTCTCAAAGTAATGAAATTTGCTGTTGTATTGAAATTTGCTGGATTCTCAAAGAATTAAAAGTTGCTAGTAATTTCGGTCCAAATGAAAATTACGAAATATGAGGGTGAACTAATCCTTTAGAAAATTGATTGAATTCCTCACGTCAGTGTTAGGATACTGACCGTTGTCAAATCTTCACTTCAGTTCAAAAACCGTCAGATGTATCGCAGCTTACACAATATAAATTACTTATTTCATGAGTGTTCGTAAAAGATTTTTTTTGTGTTGCCATCTCTCGGCTAGCCTAATTCTACGTCGTAACGTATTGTATTATTCTTTTTCGTCTAAAGGGTATGGCTATGTGCCTTCTGCTACCCAGCAGTTCCCCGCCCCGCATACAAAAACGTCAATTTTAGGGTGTATTCATTGATTTTATGAACTTGTACATGCGGACAACATCTGTTTCCAATTGGGAAATTAACAATTTTTAAGGAATTTTAAGTGTCATTTAACTAAGTGTCGTTTTATTCAGGTCGTTTGTTTTTGAAAGAAAAAATCGTAAACTTGATTTAGCTCAACTTCGACTTTTTTGTGGTTTGACTTTTGATTTTTTATCACTTGCTTAAACTTTAGACTTTCCTGTAAACAAATTTTTTAATACGTGTTTTTGAAATGTTTTCCTTAAATTGAACATGATTCGAGAACGAAATAATCGTAGACGTGTTTTTTTTTCTGTTGATATTAAGAGTAATGAACGTAGTGATGACTCTTATATAGGTTTTGCTTATTTTTTGTTTTTTCTTTTCAGGAAAAGTCTTAAAATATTGATGCACTTAAGGTATAATGCACTTTTTGAGTTCAGTTGAAATTCATCTGCTGAAAGTGACGTAAATAGCACTCTCCAAATACGAACGTGCAAATGGCGCAAGAAAACGTGATCGATTTTTAGTTTCGAAAGTGGAATTTAATTTTTAGATTTCCAGCGGAATAAAAAACTTTACCTGTTGATCCAGTTTTCTCAAGTTTGGTTTATGTTATCAAAAAAGCGCCAGTGATAAATCGTTCTAAAAATTCAAAGAGCTTAAAGGGCATCTATTTTTTTCTTTGAATTTCAAATGTCGAGATTTTTTTTAACAAAGTCAGTGTTTTTTGTTTACTTGCGTTCATTACTCTTTTCTAATCTTTGATTGGCTATGTTTTTTTTTGAGTAAGTGGCTTCGTCTAATTTTTTATCAACTTGCTACCAATTATTGTACGGCAAGTCTTGCGGAGCTTCATCTCGCGTCTGTTTTATAAGTTACTTTCAAAATCATTTTGGGTTTCTTGACATTTCAAGTTTTTGGCTTTCTTGACATTTTTCAAATTTCCTGTTGCCTATGTTCATTGCAATTGAGATCTACGTGAAAACGACTAGAAAAATTCTTTAAAACTGTATGTGGGGGTTAGACGGTGGTTGGCGAGAAACCTTATGTTTTATAATTAACAATTTCATAAATGTGAGTGATTTGGTGTGTTTTAGATGGACTTTGGGATGGGAGGTCTGGACCAACAGCTGTCTGGTCTCACCGACCTGTTCTCTAACTTCTTCTCCGTTCCGGACATCTTCTCTCTGGAACCAGTGTCCCAGAACCAGCTGGAACAGGCAGCTCAGCAGAAAGAAGTGGGTAAGGCAATGGACAACAATGACGTCATCCTCGGAAGCGACGAGGAGGCGGCTCTGAATGAGTTCGAAAACCTGCTCAAGAATATCGGAATCCTCGTGCCCGTTGAGCAAGGTTGGTTTCATTTGATCGGAAGAACCGAAGCATGCATATAAAGCCAGTAAATGTCCATTACAAATCACGCAATGTTTACTTTTTCGTAAACTTAGTGTTGTCAATAAGAAAAAGTGTGCTTTGAATCTAAAATATCGAAATATGCGTTATTGGTTGTCGCAAAATGAATGAATTAACATTTTCCTGTCATAAGTGATTATATTTCAAAAGACGCGGAGGCCAAGAAGTACCCGGAACTGTCGTACAAGGATAATCACGGGGAAGATCGCCGTGAACACCAATATGGAGATCACGATGAAGAAGAGAGAGGAGATATGGCGTACCTAAGAGGCATCTGGCAGGACAGGAACACCATGCAGATCCTCCTCATCTCCTCAATCACCGCATGCCTGTTCGCCATCCTCTGGATGTTGTGCAACTCCTCCAACGACCCAGTGGTGCGACGAGTGGCACCTGCGTCTGACACCTCTAGCGAGAAGCCACCTTCCTACAATGTTAGTGCCCGCATACTTTTCTGCTCGAAAGAAAAGGAGAACCCTTCTAAGTATTGAACAAAATTAACTACTTTCGACCTGAAGTTTGTCCTTTTTTCAATTGATCATTTAATTAAATGAAAATTTGATTGGCCAATAATATAAATTAAAAACTTTTAAAGTTGACGATGAAACAAAAAAATCTATTTTTGACCAGTGTGGGCAATTTTTTGTCCATTTATGACTTCGAAATCACATTTAATGACCTATTTTATACAGAAAGCAAAAAAAATCAAGTATAGGCGTTTGCAAACGGAAAGTTAACCTATATCCGCCTGAATTTCATTCGCATCCAAATAGTTTCTCAAGTAAACTTTTTCGCGGTTTGACTTGCGATTTTTTTGTAATTCAATTCATTTCGTTTTTTAAAAGGAAGGCAAATTCCACTGTTGAACAGCGAACATGTAAAGGCCACGAAAAACGTGATCGACTTCTAGTTTCGAAAGTGGTATTTAATTTTCAATTTTCCCAGCGAAATATTTCTTTACTTATTGAGCCAGTTTTATCAAATTGGCTCAAGTTTATCAACAAAAGGGCCAATCATATTTTTTTCTAGAGTTTCAAAGAGCTTGAATTTTTTTCTTGGAAATCTGTTTTTTTTTCTTGGAAATAAACATTTTCAAAAAAAGTCTATTTTTTTTCTGTTTAATTGCATTCATTGACCCTTTTACAACTGCCTGTCAGCTATCCTTAAAATTTTCTCATTTAATTCTAATAAACAAATTTTATCTGTATATTTACATGAACTCCAATGAGTAATTTGTGAGCCTGGAGTCGATTGTTTTTTTAAAGGAATTATCAGTTTAATTCCGGCTGGAACAAAAATATAATTTTTGTAAGCTGAAAATTTTCGAAGAAAACCAAGCTTTGAGCTCTACAGATATTTAATAAACACATTCAAGATATAACGTCGGGATGGCAGATAACTTTCATACTTTCTTTTGATGGTTTTCTAGTTTTATTACCCTTGTGATAAGCAAGGGTATTGCAATCGGGTACTGGACTTTTTGCCCGTAAACAACTTTTTTTTACAGGACTCTTCTCATCTGGACTCATTTCCTTGAAGCCTCTTGGCAACCAGTTTACCGCTACAGATAACCAATTTAACGCTACAGATATATTTTTTGATTTATGGGATTTTAAATATCTGCCCTATTCGCATTATTTTATGTCGTTTGTAATTTTACCTAATAACTCTATAGTCTTAATTTTTTTTCGGTCCATATTATATCGACTTAGTGGCTTTCTTGCTTTGTGTCGCAAATGGTGCGAAGCTCAGCTTAGTCTCTGTGTAAAGAAAAAATTTCTATGGCCAAGATTCTTTCAGGTAATCTACGGCGCAAACGAGAAGAAGTTCCCGATCCTGGTGGTCGCTGGAATCGATGAGCAGGCAGATGAGCTCCCCCAGAAGATGCCACTGGGATACTCCACTCAGATCTAGAGCGGACTGAGAGATTTGAAGAGTGTTCATATCGAAACTAAAGAGTAGAACTAATTAGGATGGAGATGGGGTCTGCAATACTTCGCATTTCAAACTACTGAGACTAAGCAACTTGCTTAAAATACACTTTTATTCATTTTCATGAAGTGAAGTTACTTATTAGTGAAGACATTCCTTGACTTACGCCTTCATATGTAATCTGTTTCATTCCCTGGTTCATTGAATTCTTTTTTGGGCTTAAAAACTTTTGGTCTTGAGTGATTTGTCAATATCAATGTAAATAGTTATCAATGTGTTCATTGCGATTCAATTTGGATTGTTTGGGAGCTCTTAGATTGAATTTTAGTTAACACTAATTGAAATATGAAAAGTATGTAGTCACGGTGCTTCATAGAACGTTCGAATCTGGAGTTGAATACGCTCAGGAACTTAAATATTATTTTTAACATGACGCGTATTTGATTTCGGGTCAATACACTTTAAGGTGACTGGAATCGTAATCTTATTACCTCTACATGTAGACTGCTTTGAAAAAAATATGGATTCAAATTGAATTGACAAATGTTGAAGCCTGTATTTTTTCCGGGGCGTGCAAGATCAGGGTCTTTATTTTTAACGCTCATGTTCTCAAACCTGGTGGCAAAAATCGAAAATAACTGATTATTTCATCGAATTTTTCAACAATTATTATAAATTTGTCTTTTGTTTCGGATAACTGAATTCATACTTTATTCAGAATCTTATTCAGACTGTTCTATATGTGTTGATGATATTTTTTCCAGGAAAAGTTTTAGTCTTGGAACATGGTCGACTTCTAGTTTCGAAAGTGGAATGTAATTTTCAGATTTCTCAACAATGAAAACTTTACCCATTGATCTAGTTTTTTCAATTTGAGTTAATTATTCTAGCAAGTTCGCAAGCGTTAGTGAATTAGTACGAACCTTCTTTTTTCCAAACCTAACTTGCTAATAGAAGTGTCCATTAAATGTTCACTTATTTGGTGGCACTTTTGCTATAATCACGATCTGTAGCAGTAGAAATTTCATAGCATCTATTCTCTGCTTTATTTGTGGCTAGTGTTTGTGACTTATTAAATGTCCGTGGCCGAGTGGTTAGTGCGTCAGACTCATAATTTCTAGGCCGCAGATCAAATCTGAGACGTAGCCGAATGTTTAATAATTCGAGGCTTATTAACCTTGCGATAGCAAGGGTATTGCAATCGGCTACTAGACTTTTTTCCCGTAAACAATATGTGCACAACTTTGGTACGTTAGTTCGTAATGAATTCAAATTTTGTAGTGTCATGCAGGCTTAGCCTGGCGGTAACGAATACGCCTGGAACGGCAAAGGTCCTGATCTCTAATCTTACCAGGACTAGTTTTTTTTTAAGGTTTCGGTTCAAAAAAAAATTTCGGCCTATTATTTGTCTGCTAATGTTTTGTCGGCTTAGTTGCCACATCTAAGAATCGTTTATTTAAGCTGTAAACATTGTTACTGCATTTATTTTTAGCATTTGAAATTCCGGCCGAATCGAAATTTGATTTTAAATTTGTAATTTTACCAGCTCGATTTATTAAAATTTCACTTTTTGTTCATTTTTTCGTCTTTTTTATCGACTTAATAAGTTTCGGGTTAATTAACATCAATTAAGTGGCCTCTTATTGCGTCGTTACGTCCGAAAATTTTTTTGTGCGCGTGTGTGTGCTCTGAGGGGAAAAGGGACTATAATTGAGATTTTTTTTGGAATTTTTTTTTCGGCATGAAGGGCTTCTGCGCAAGTTTTTCGTCTGTGTTACCGCTTGGTCTTAATAAATTCAAATCCAATCAACCATCCGGCGCATCTAGCCTAGAGGTAAAACACTTAGATTGCACATTTGCAGTTTGAATCCGGGCGCGCCGGTTTTGCTAACTAGAGTTCTTGTACTTTTTCGGACTATCGTACGTCTGTTTATTTTTGTCGGATTAGTTCCCGTACCTCGATGCTTCATCTTTATTCCAAGTTGCTGTAATCCCCATGCTTGAGGCGACACAGCCCGGGAGTTCGATTTCAATTGAGACTTATTTTTCTTGCAAATAAAAAGTTTTGGGTAAATCAGATTATTGTCTGTCTGGTTATTTCCGCTGAAAATATTTTTTATTTTAAATTTGGCTTCTGTATAGCATTCGCAAAGCTTGTTGTATAGTTTCTAATGATTTAGAAACTTTTGTTCCGGATATTTTGGGCTTTTGCTGAAAATTTTTTCCGTTTGATTTTCATAGTCATTCATATTTGTATCGCTTCGCCTCTCTGTTTGAATTTTTCTTATTGCACTTTATAGAGCTGCTTTTCTCGTGTTCTCTCTAGCGTTTTCGAAGTGCTGCAGCTTCGCCTCTTTAAAAATACATTTTTATTTTTGGCTTTAATTCAAAATTTTATTTTGGTCTCAACATTCTGTGCTACTTGCACAGCAAACCGCTATCCTTGCGTTGCTTTCACATTATATGGGACAACTTTGCGCGCCTTCATCCTCACACTAGTAAACCGATTTTTGACCCATATAACTCACGAAGGAAAATCATATTTTTAGGAAAAATACTCAGCTCAATATTGATTTCTTTTTTTTTGTGGTTTGATTTTTGATTTTTAAGTTTCTTTCATTTCCATTGTTAACAGGAAGCCAAACTCCATTATCGAACTCAAAAGTATACAATCCACTTTGAGCTTCAAAAGTACATTTTAATTACTAGTTTTTTCCCAGTGGAATTTCCAGTGGAATAAAAAATTTACTACTGATTCAGTTTTCTCAATTTAGGGTAATTATATCAAAAAAATGCCAATCATAAATTGTTCGTGGTCATATAATTATTTTTTTAAAATTGGGAAATGTAAGTTTTTTTGTATCCTTGCAAATCCAAGTAACAGTTTTTGTACTTCTTCGCTGCATAAGTCGGTACCCTTTGTATCCTTGCAAATCCAAGTATCCAAGTTTTTTTGTATCCTTGCAAATCCAAGAAACAGTTTTTGTACTTCTTCGCTGCATAAGTCGGTCCCAAAAACAACCCTGCCAGTCTGAGTCTGAGATAAAGACTCCAATGGATGAAACAAATTAAGATAATTTTTGTAAAAAATCTTTAATTTTTGTGAAAAAAATGTAGCGTTTTTGGGAAAAGTCCAATTGCTGAAACTTTTTCAGGTATATTTTCAGGTATAATGAAAATGTATGGTAATTAATTTCTTAGTTTCTGAGACGCTTCTCTTTTCGAAAATATTTTTTCTCAAAAAGTACACCACCTATTTTCAAACAAATGGTTCCTTGTTTATTTCCTTGTTTGCCTGCATGGTCACCTTGCCATTTTTTGCCTTCTAAAAATTCTGGATGGGGATGTTTGATCAATAGTATATTTTTTACTATTCTCGAAAACTTGAGATTTAGAGAGTTTAATCGAAAAACAAACAGCTTTTGCAAATCTTCCGTGCGTTAAAGGCTCTGCGGCTACGGGTTCAGTCAAAAGCACAGGTCAACAAAATCTTCGACCTATTTTAAGTAGAGGTCAACAACAGCACCCTAATTTAAGAAGATAAACTTTTATGAACTTCGAAAAAATTTTCCCACCAATTCTGAGGTTAATGATTTGATTAAAACAAACAAGGTACAAAAAATTCCCTGCATAAACGATTACATCCTTGGTACGAATTTTTTTCTTCTTTAGAAAATTAGGTTTTGGGTAAAGTCCAACTTTTGAAATATTGAAAATTGAGCATTTCATCCCGCATTAGTAAGATACATTTTAAAACGAAAACAAATAGGTGCCTCCAGCTTTAGCTGAACCTCTCAGTCTTTGTAAATTTGGACTGTTGTGGTAGGCGTGATTTTACGAAAGCAAAGTCGACTGTCTAAAACTGTCAATTTCATTCTTTACACAAGCAGAGCGCAGTTTGATGCAAAAAAGCTACTGTTTTTCCAACCTAAGTAGCAAATATTAGCACTACCTTTGGTAGTACTTTCAAAACTGGAGGTTCAGTGGGCGTTCTGATAGCATGAACGTTGTCATTTACTTAATTATTAGTTATCACAGTTGGTGCACTTTTATTTCATGAACCGAAGAAAGTTAATTGTTATTTAAAATTCATAAACGCGCTTCTGAAATGTATATTTTGGCTTTCCAGGTTACTAATTGCAAGGCCGTATGGTTGATTTATCACATTCCAAGTCTATTACATTCCAAACTATTACATGCAAAGTTGTGATTTTGTACATCCCTTTTGCGGCTTCTGTAAGCTTCAGTGGCCCAATTGTATAGGGCGGTCAATCTAAAAACTTGCTTGTTTGAGGATTAAAGTTCATTTTGTTCAAATTTAAGTTTGAAAGTTGTTCAGGCTCATTTTTTCGCCGGACTTCTCCCCTCCGGGAGTACGCATGTAATAGAATTCAAAAGTTTATTAGCTCAAATCAACATTGTTGTATTCAAGCAGTTTACGTACGGTTTGTGGGCTTGATAAATTAGTTCACGCGGGCGATTGTACAGTGCTGATTCAAATTATTCGGACAAAACGAACAAAACTTGATTACTGAACACATTTTTATCAAATTGCGTTAAGATTAGACAAAAAGTGAAGAAAACAAAAATTGCTTGGAATTTCATCAAAATTAATATGATGCAATTTTTTCTCCGAAATTCACAACCAAAAATGGGTCATTTTGGATTTTTTCAGTTAATCAAAAATTACGTTTAACTACTTTGTTAATTGATGAAGAAAATATACCACAAGAAGCCAAGCCTCTTACACAGCCCAAAAAATTCTAGAAGGATTAAATTTCCAAAAACCTTAATAAGAGAAAATATTTTTGCTTGATAGTCAAGAAACATGATTTTTATTATATAAAACCCAAAATCTTTGCTTAAAAATAAATTTTAAACAATTTACTTAAATTTTTAGAGATTTAACCCTTCTAGAACTTTGTTGGGATGTGTAACAGGTTTCTTGTAAAACTATTTTCTCATCTATTGGAGTAGTTTCAGCGTAATTCTTGATTAATTATAAAAACGCCAAATTGACTCTTTTTGGGGTAAAATTCTGGTTGAGAACTTCGGAGAAAAAATTGTACCATATTAACTCTGAGGAGATTCTAAGCAACGTTTTTTCTCTTCTTTTTTGTCTAATCCTATCCCATTTTGAGAAAAACGTGTTTGAAAATTCAAGTTTTGTTCATTTTTTCCGGACAATTTAAATCAGCACTGTATTGATGGTTTTGTTTTCCTCTTGGTGAAAATCGTTTGAGACAAAGTCTTGGATTATTTTGAATTAGTTTTTTGACTTTTTCAGTTTTTTTTATTATTTGGCCTCTAATTTCCTGTTTGTCTACTAGCTTCAATGCTGCGTTTGTGGTCCATCGCATTTGGTGCGAAGCGCCGTTTTGCCTGTTTTTTTTTGCGTTTATTGAAATGTTGGGACTGTTTTGTACAACTTGCACAGCAACCGGCCAACCATGCTCATTACAATCGTAATCAGCCAGCTTTATCAAACCGTAAAATAGATTTTTTTTTGCTGCAAACAAGCTACTTAACATTTTTTTTTGAAATCTTCATTTTTATTCAGTTCAAGCCTAGCATCTGATTGCACATATTTGGAGAGACGTAACGTTCATGCTTTGGACGACACTGTTAAAAATTAATTTGATATCTTCCTGTAATGGCACAAGTAATTAAATTAAACCAAATTTGGTTGAATTCTCTGTACGATTTTAGAAATTTTTTTTATAAAAACTAGTAAAACAAGTAATACAACTCCTTTTTCCCAAATAACTGAATTCTTTTTCAACAAATTTGTCTGGTCAACAGATTTGTTGGGCATGTATGCATTTTAAATACCGGATGCGAAAGTTGGGTTCATGTTGGTTGTAAATGTAAACCAACTCTAAAATTTTATGTTTTTTTCCTAAACTTTTTTATTCAGCGTGAAAGATTTGGGTCATTTGTATATCGCTTATCAACCTATATTGGTCGACTATAAGCGAATATGGCGCAGATGGGAGGATGCTCGAATCTCAACCTCCGGATCGGGGTTCGATTCCGGAGTCTCGCAGCAGTGTTGTTGTTCAAGATTTGTTTATACTTTTTTTTCTTATTTCACATTTTCACCATTTTAGAGCTGCTTTTTTTGCCGTTTTCTCGCTTGTGCTTGCGAAGTGCAGCTTCGCCTCTTTGCGTAATTTGTTTTTCAGTGGGAATTTTACTAGTAACTATCTTGTAAAACTGAGGCAACGTATGCAGACTACTTAATATATAGTGAATTTGCAAACTCCGTCACACAATATTTAATTTTGATTCCTGATGTTTAGAACAGTTTTTTATCCGTAATTTTTGTGTAGACCGTTGAAACAATTGATCCGTTGAAGATACTCAACACGATTCCGAATAGGCAAGGAAGCAGGAAAATTCTGTTGCCGTCCAAGTGCATTCCTGAAATTCAAAGAGTAGTTAAATGTTGGATTACATAAATTTGAACGGCAAGTATTCATTTTTCAGAAGAGTTATAAGAGATTCGGAGAGAGCCGATACAATCCTATCCAGTCGACGCCTAAAATGCGCAATTTCTATTCTGCTTTTACCATTTTTTTTCAATGATATCTAATGAAACATCTGGTCACAGTACTTAAACTCATTTTTATGCCAAGGGAAACCAAAGTAGGAGTAAAAGGAAGAGTTCGAAAAAAATTGTGTAAAATGAAAAAAAATCCTGAGACATCTGATTTTTGCGGTTGGGCAGTAAATTTTGAACCCAACCAAGTTCATCACTTTGATCTATTCATGAAATTCAGTGCATTTTGCAGCTTCTCTCTCGATGTTACTTCTTTGGTAGTTCCAAAATTTATGTATAAATGAAATGCCAACAGTTTGCTATTCGACTTTGTTCAGTGTAAATATCTTAAACATTATAAGTAAAAGAGCAGAATATTTCTTAGTTAAAAGCGAGATGGCTTCATGTGGTTATAGAGCCAATTGATGATTTGTTTTTGTTAGCCTGCTATAGTACCTTTTTCTCCGTAGTGGCTTGCCTTGGCTGCATATAGAGCCGCTGTAGTCATATCAGCTAGAGCAACTGCACAAAAAACAGCAGTGAAAACTAGCAAGTTCTTCGGGTGTGTCTCGTACAATCTGCAGCTACGGTGAAGACACACCAGCAGGAACATCACGAGCCCCGGAGTTGCGACTACACACAAAATAATTTTAGAAATCTTACATGCACGCTAAAAAGATTTTAATGAAAAAGAAAAAACAATAAGACACGAGTCGATGACCTAACTTCACAAACGCATGAATCTTCTGTTCGAATATTCTGTTCGAATATCAATTGTAGCACTTTGATTTGAGCTGATTAGATTATCGGAAATTATAGGTAGATTATGATAATTCTAACCACATAAATCATACCGCCACATACCCTATGTGGCTTTCTATATTTTGGTCGGGTATGGCACCCAATGCGGTAGGAAAAAAATGCCGTAAATCTGTATTCAACGGGAAATTTTTGACTGGCAGGAGTGTTATATTCCGGAGGAGTGAGTACGCATGAAGGCAGGGGCGGATCTAGAATTTTCTTGAGGGGGCGGATTTTCAAAAAGTTTACGAAATTTTCTCAACCTTAATTTTTTAAGGTGTTTGAATAAATTGATTTCCCGAGCTCTTCCAAAGCAGCAAAAAGTCCTTGTTTCGGTAAAAATTTCAGCGCCGCAGGCAAAATTTTGAAAAAACAGGCCAAAAGAGCGCTTTTAGGCACTTTTGGAAATTTTGCTTCCCCCCTAAAATTAGTATATATTGGCGCCAAAGGCGCCTTCAGAAAAATTTTAGGGTTCGTCGGCAGCCAAAACTGGATATCTCAAAATTTTTCAAAGGGGGTACCCTTTGGGTCGGCAGAGGGTCGAATTCCCGAGGAAGAAGCGTCCACCCACCCCCCTCCCCCCTAAATCCGCCCACAACCCCCCCCCCCCCCCCTAAATCCGCCCCTGGGTGAAGGGAGGGAGGGGGGTTCTGCGTTGCTTTAATTTGCACGTGTCAAACTAATTTAGCATACCAGGACTAGATTTCAAACACAATTTCTGTTCTGCCGGCTATACTTCAGGGTTACTAACTTGTAAATATCGTCACTAATCCAAGGGCAACACGGTCGTTGGAAAGAGCAATAGATCCGGTGACAACTGCGACCAAAATGAAAAAGCAATTGGCTACGATAGAAAACTCCATCATATAGTGTTTGAATTTCGTATACATGGTATTTGATGAAATCCGAAATCTAAATAATATAATTTGAATCAAGTTTTTTTAAAGGCAGTGTTTATCAACTTATAAAAAGCCTGAACAGGTATAAAAAGTGATAAAGATAACAATATTATAAACACTTTATTCAATTATTTTTTCTTAGAGCAAGAGCAAACTTATTCAAATTTGGTAAAACAAAGTTTCTAACTTAAAGTGCGATACCAGAATCACAATTCACCATCTTTTTCATCTACAATGGTCTGTCGTCAGTAGACTTTACAAGCTGCGAATTTTTCAGCTAGTAAGAAAACTTGCTGATGCATGAAGCCATCTTTGTAACGAGTAAACTCTGTCATAAACCTTTTGATGCAAATGCTAGCATTCAATGTAGTCTTTTAAAGTAACTTGAAAACAATGCAATTTTACAGTGAGTGCCAAAATCCAGCAAGAAAGCACATCGTAGGAACATTCTGCACAAAAAGGATAGGCGGTTGCTGTGTAAGTAGCACCGAAAATTCCAAACACGCTAATTGAAAATAAAAAAGTTTTTTAATAGGGTTGTTTTGTCCGTGGTGCGTTGAAAGGATCTGAACAAAATCCTAATTTGTTATCAAAGCATTAGCGGATTTAGGGAGTGAAGCGGAGGGCTTCAACCCTTTTGTAAAATTATGAGATATCCAATTTTGGCTGACGGACCCTAAAGTTTTTCTAAAGGCGCTTTTGGCGCCAATATTTACTAATTTTGAGGAGAAGCGTGCGCCAAATAAACTCAACTTTTTGGTCAAACAAACTTATCCAAAAAGTGCTTAAAAACGCTTTTTTGGCCTGCGCTGAAAATTTGGCCTAAACAGCGTATTTTTAGTCCTTTGGTTGAGCTCGGAAAATCATTTTAGTCAGCTTAAAAAAAGTCAACAAAAATTTTCAAAATCTGCCCACCCTTAAAAATTTTGAAAACCCGCCTTTGAGTTATTGTTAAGTAGGCATTTTTTACCACAGTTTTCTCGAAAAATGAATAAAAAATGAAAACAAAATTTCTAGTTTTTTTTTCAGTTTTTTAATTTTGTTCCCAAGAAGGCACTGAAAAAACTATTACACTTGCAAGCTTGCGAGCGTTAGTGATTTATAAAAATATTTAACTCAAGTAAAACTAAGTTTATGCGGCTAAAATAAAAATTTATGTCCTATTGTGAACCTGCTCGCGTTATTTAAAAATTACACTAGATTTCTGCTTTTAGTCAATTTTTGAAATTCGGGCTTTTTCTTTTCCCCTCAAATTTTCACCTGCAAACTTCTACAGTAATTTTTTGTTCACTTTGTCGGATTATAACAAAAATTGACATGCTAGCTAGTTTTTCCACGAAAAACATTTTTAGTCTTCACACATAACCTTATAACACCAATTTTTTAATTTCAATGAGTAAATGAACGGATTTTTTCTTCACTTTTTTGACTTGTGCTTGATGATACTATTCGAAAGAGTCTCACTGAATCAAATACTAAGAAATTTCGAGTTGACTGCGTAAAATAGCCATAAATCATGACTAATTTCTGAAGTGTTCTTGTTTTCGAAACATCCTCAAAAACCACACAAGGAGTTTAAAATTTTGGGCTCAATTTAGCTCTTACTGATGCTGAGGATCTTCATTTAGTCTCTAAGCCGCGGAAAACCGACAAACAAATTATTTCAAAGATTTATTTGGTCCGGCGTCGAAAAATGGTGTTATCTGTTCTGACGATACAGATATGAAAATGCCTTGGTCGCTTGAAATGTGGACAATATTTAGAGACAACATGACTGCAAACGGGAATTCTGTGCACTCGGATGAACGTGGGCAACATTTAGAGACAACATGACTGCTTACGAGTACCTGTGCTTGGATAGAAGATGTCGTTTTTTCAAAATATCAGCTGAAATAGTTCTTTTGATTTATTTTGATCAACGCAAATTTCCTTGTAGACACTTTTAACCACTTTTCTCGTAGGGTTCTCATGAGCAACCATATTGTCTTCAAATAATGTCATCAATTCTAGTAGTGCACATGGTTCTCGTAAGCAGTCATGTTGTCTATAAATGTTGTCCACATTTCTGTATCGTCAGAACAGACACCACCATTTTTTGACGCTGGACCCAGTAAATCATTGAACTATTTTGTTTGTTGTTTTTCCACGGCCTAGAGATTAAGTGATGATCATGATAACTTCCCAAATGGCATAAAAATGAAACTTTTCCCAAATAGCATACATTTCAAGTTTTCATTGTAGCTCAAACGTTTTCTATCAATTTCTATTTCTAACATACTGCCAGGAGCGAAAACATGTGAACAAGGATTGAAAGTAATTGTTTTCAAACAAATGTTAAGCAACAAATTTGTCGGAAAATTTTACCACATGAAGCTTATCAATAACCGCAATCTTATGATTTTCGCTTTTGATACAGAAAAATTATACAATTGTTCACGAAAAAATTGTTCTCGATTTTCTTATTGTACCTGTTGCATCAAATTTATGCAATTTGGGAAATTTTTCATTTTTATGCCATTTGGGAATTATGCCATTTGAGACGTAATCATGATCATCAGCTTCATTAAAAACTAATTTGAGCTCATCATTTCAGGTTCATTGAGTTGTTTTCGAGGATGTTTCCAGAGCAAGAACACCTACGAAAATCGTTAGGGTTCATGGGTTTTTTATCTGGTAAGATCTTTACAAATTATTTCATCTAGCAAAAGCCAAAGTTCATTCTTTAACTTTTCTAGTTGCAGACGTGGAGAAAAATCCGTTCCCTTGCTCGTTGAAAGCAAAAAGTTACAAATTTTATGTTCCGCGACTGTACTTTAATTTTAAACCGCTCTTTGATAACTACCGTCCGTGGCCGACATTTTTGGGAAGTCTTTTATATCAAGATCAAGGCCCAACAATTTTTGATTTTTTGAGTTATAGATCATTACAAAAAAGTTATTTTTATATTGTTTTTCTGTCAAGGTAAATTTACAAGATTTTTACATAATAGATTGCGTTCTCTAAAAACTAAGAAAGCATATTGGTTGCTGGGCTGCTGATATGAATTAAGACCACGTTTGTAGCTGATTTAAAGTCAAACTGCAATAAAATTTTCATAAAATTGTTTTTGTATTGGTTGAGAATTGTTTCTCTTAACGCTAATTTAGAAAAAGCTTGGATTTCTAAAAAAAATTTGAAAAATCCTTATTCGATTACCACATTTTGTCTAGAAAATACCCGAGTGCATGATCTCGTTTAATTTTAAGCAAGATTTGTTCGATACAGAACAAGCAAAATGATGCGGCAACTAAATCGACAAAATTTAAGCAGAAAAACGAAAATGCGACACTTCAATTAGGCTCTTTTTCCTTCCCCCCCCCCCACCTGCAAGATTTTATAATTAAAATTATTGTTTGCATAGTCCGATTGTCATGAAAATTGACATGCAAATGAACAGCGTATTTTTAGTCCTTTGGTTGAGCTCGGAAAATCATTTTAGTCAGCTTAAAAAAAGTCAACAAAAATTTTCAAAATCTGCTCACCCTTAAAAATTTTGAAAACCCGCCGTTGAGTTATTGTTAAATAGGCTTTTTTTACCACAGTTTTCTCGAAAAATGAATAAAAAATGAAAACAAAATTTCTAGTTTTTTTCCTTCAGTTTTTTAATTTTGTTCCCAAGAAGGCACTGAAAAAACTATTACACTTGCAAGCTTGCGAGCGTTAGTGATTTATAAAAATATTTAACTCAAGTAAAACTAAGTTTATGCGGCTAAAATAAAAATTTATGTCCTATTGTGAACCTGCTCGCGTTATTTAAAAATTACACTAGATTTCTGCTTTTAGCCAATTTTTGAAATTCTTTTCCCCTCAAATTTTCACCTGCAAACTTCTACAGTAATTTTTTGTTCACTTTGTCGGATTATAACAAAAATTGACATGCTAGCTAGTTTTTCCACAAAAAACATATTTAGTCTTCACACACAACCTTATAACACCAATTTTTTAATTTCAATGAGTAAATGAACGGATTTTTTCTTCACTTTTTTGACTTGTGCTTGATGATACTATTCGAAAGAGTCTCACTGAATCAAATACTAAGAAATTTCGAGTTGACCGCGTAAAATAGCCATAAATTATGACTAATTTCTGAAGTGTTCTTGTTTTCGAAACATCCTCAAAAACCACACAAGGAGTTTAAAATTTTGGGCTCAATTTAGCTCTTACTGAAGCTGAGGATCTTCATTTAGTCTCTAAGCCGCGGAAAACTGACAAACAAATTATTTCAAAGATTTATTTGGTCCGGCGTCGAAAAATGGTGTTATCTGTTCTGACGATACAGATATGAAAATGCCTTGGTCGCTTAAAATGTGGACAATATTTAGAGACAAAATGACTGCAAACGGGAATTCTGTGCACTCGGATGAACGTGGGCAACATTTAGAGACAACATGACTGCTTACGAGTACCTGTGCTTGGATAGAAGATGTCGTTTTTTCAAAATATCAGCTGAAATAGTTCTTTTGATTTATTTTGATCAACGCAAATTTCCTTGTAGACACCTTTAACCACTTTTCTCGTAGGGTTCTCGTGAGCAACCATATTGTCTTCAAATAATGTCATCAATTCTAGTAGTGCACATGGTTCTCGTAAGCAGTCATGTTGTCTATAAATGTTGTCCACATTTCTGTATCGTCAGAACAGACACCACCATTTTTTGACGCTGGACCCAGTAAATCACTGAACTATTTTGTTTGTTGTTTTTCCACGGCCTAGAGATTAAGTGATGATCATGATAACTTCCCAAATGGCATAAAAATGAAACTTTTCCCAAATAGCATACATTTCAAGTTTTCATTGTAACTCAAACGTTTTCTATCAATTTCTATTTCTAACATACTGCCAGGAGCGAAAACATGTGAACAAGGATTGAAAGTAATTGTTTTCAAACAAATGTTAAGCAACAAATTTGTCGGAAAATTTGACCACATGAAGCTTATCAATAACCGCAATCTTATGATTTTCGCTTTTGATACAGAAAAATTATACAATTTTAAGATAAAATATCATTTAGCATTTGAATTGGCAACTACATTAATTTGCCAACATTATTTTTCACGAAAAAATTGTTCTCGATTTTTTTATTGTACCTGTTGCATCAAATTTATGCAATTTGGTAATTTTTCATTTTTATGCCATTCGTGAATTATGCCATTTGAGACCCAATCATGATCATCAGCTTCATTAAAAACTAATTTGAGCTCATCATTTCAGGTTCATTGAGTTGTTTTTGAGGATGTTTCCAGAGCAAGAACACCTACGAAAATCGTTAGGGTTCATGGGTTTTTTATCTGGTAAGATCTTTACAAATTATTTCATCTAGCAAAAGCCAAAGTTCATTCTTTAACTTTTCTAGTTGCAGACGTGGAGAAAAATCCGTTCCCTTGCTCGTTGAAAGCAAAAAATTACAAATTTTATGTTCCGCGACTGTACTTTAATTTTAAACCGCTCTTTGATAACTACCGTCCGTGGCCGACATTTTTGGGAAGTCTTTTATATCAAGATCAAGGCCCAACAATTTTTGATTTTTTGAGTTATAGATCATTACAAAAAAGTTATTTTTATATTGTTTTTCTGTCAAGGTAAATTTACAAGATTTTTACATAATAGATTGCGTTCTCTAAAAACTAAGAAAGCATATTGGTTGCTGTGCAGCTGATATGAATTAAGACCACGTTTGTAGCTGATTTAAAGTCAAACTGCAAAAAAATTTTCATAAAATTGTTTTTGTGTTGGTTGAGAATTGTTTCTCTTAACGCTAATTTAGAAAAAGCTTGGATTTCTAAAAAAAATTTGAAAAATCCGTATTCGATTACCACATTTTGTCTAGAAAATACCCGAGTGCATGATCTCGTTTAATTTTAAGCAAGATTTTTTCGATACAGCACAAGCAAAATGATGCGGCAACTAAATCGACAAAATTTAAGCAGAAAAACGAAAATGCGACACTTCAATTAGGCTCTTTTTCCTTCCCCCCCCCCCCCATCTGCAAGATTTTATAATTAAAATTATTGTTTGCATAGTCCGATTGTCATGAAAATTGACATGCAAATGAATTAGGCCATGACAAACATATTTGGTCATCAAAATTAACCTTGTAAATACACTCGTTAGACCATAAAATTGATGCTCATCTGAGGTGGGGGGTAAAAGGAAAAAGAGCCTTCAATTATTACCGTAAAAAATTGCAATTGCAGACTTACTAAAAAAGAAGATCCGCCCGGGAATCAAACCCATGACCTTAGGCTACAAAGGGGACGGCATGACCTCTAGGCCAAATGAGAACAAACCTGCTTAGTGTTAAGTAAGTTTCCATATTAAAACAAGTAGAAATTGTTTTGAAAAATGTCAGGGGGAAAACTTTAGCTCCTGATTACAAGACATTTGCTCTAGCAAGAGTGTGAAAAAAAATAAACCAATTTTTCTGTAAAATTTCATAATTTTTTAAGTTGAACACTATTCCATAGACATCAACGAGCAGTCAAAACATTCAGGGTTGCCCCCAGACGTGAGCAGTCTTGCTTTGCGTTAATTGGACTTTTTGACTGAATTCATTTTCTCAAAAATTTTTCTTTTATTTGAATAATTTGATCTGGGATGGGACAATACTTGACTGCCCACTCTTGAGTGACACTAAAACAACCATCTGGCGTTCAGGCAGAGTTTTTGAGCCTTATTTGGAGCAAACGGATGTTTTTTGAAGAATTGAATTCAGCCTTAAAATATCTTTAAGAATTTCTTTTAAAAAATTTTGAATGGTTTCAAGATAAACTATTTACATCCTGCTCGATATCAAGTAATTGGTTTAAGATAATGCAGATAAAAAAATCGTTTGTATTGCTCGTTGTTTTTGTGAAGTTTTTTTTATAGTTTTTGTTTTCTCAGATTATCTACACAAATGGCGAATATTATTGCTGCGACTAAATTAGAACAAAAGATACAAAACTCTACATCAGTTTTTTTTCCGGTAAATAGCAAATTCTTTGTTTCTTACGAGAAATATTATCATTTTCAGTCTTATTATTGCCAAACAAATTATTCTTCAATTTCTTCAATGTCTCAAGGTCCCTTAAAAACTCTAAATTGACACATTGCTCTTTTAAATCTTCCAACTGATTGCTCTTTTTAATCTTCCAACTCTTTTTAATCGAATTGTTTCAACTTTTTGCTACTTATTATAGGGAATATTGATGACTTTGCGATATTTAATTGATCAAAAAACGTTGTTTCAACTTGAGTAGATTTTTCGACACGGTTTTTTATAGAGCCTTGTTGAAAGTTGGAATAAACAAAACTAATTAAAGTGAAAATTTGACTTATTTCAGGAAACTTTTGCATGCAAAACCTAGATTTTCAGACAAAAAATATGACTCAAGGTCACCTAAAAACTCAAATTTGCATGCAAATTTGTTCAAATTTGGCAGATTGCCCTTTTGAATCATTTGTCTGTTCCAATTTTTTGCTAAAAACTATACGCAGTCAAATGAGTTTAAGTAGGTTTCAGACGTCAAAATGAGCCGTTTTAGTTTAATTCTTTTTTCTTCGGAAAAGATGTTAGGTTGAGTGAGACGCTCAATTTTTATATAGTTTTTAACACATTTATCGGATAACGTAATAAATTTCTGAAATAGCTCTGACATTGAAACTGTGAAATGGCGCTGAAACTGCAATAGAATTTTCCGAACTACATTTGAACTCGCAAAGGAGCAAGGCAAAATGATTGCGCTTTTTCGGAGATTTTCATTTTTGCTTTATGTCAAAAATACAATTGAAAAAACTTTTTCATTCAACAACGATTGGCCATGTAATTTTTCATGGCCAAAAAGTACAAAATGCAGACACAAAGGCAAACGCAAAGTTTCAAAGAAGTGTTTCGATTTAGTTTGAGTTTGAAGGTCAGAATCATTTCAAAAATTGAATACGTTGTCCGATAAATTTGTTGAAGGTTATACGTACTTTCAGAAAATAGTTTGCGTTAGTTTATTTTCAGTGGAAAATTTTAAGTAAATTTTGTCTTAATTTAATCCTTGTCGACAACTTTTCAGATTTTGTGTCTATAAATTCAAGTTTTGCTCATTTTGTCCAGTTATACTGTAAATCAGCACTGTTAGAAATTGTTGTCCAGATTTTATTAATTTAATCCAAGGGTGAAAACTGGCATAATAGAAAATAGAAACTGAAACAACCTTAGCTCTTTTTGCACAAGGTTTATTAAATTCGTTCATCTACATTCTTTTGTAAATTGATTTTCATTTCTTTATATCAGCGATTCTCATTTTACCAAAGATGGGAAATCTTATTTCATATTGTGATGACAAGAGCGATTTAAAATTCAGAGATGAGGACAATGCGTTGGCAGCCAAATGGCAAATGTCTGAAAAGAAAGTTTCGCTACTACGGAAGAGGTTCAATTCGATTGACAGAGAGGCGAAGGGTTTTTCAACCAGGGGTGATCTTCTGAGTGTGAAAGGATTAGTTTTGAACCCGTTTATTGATCGGATAGTTGAAATTTTCTTCCAGAAAGCGGATAGAAAAGAGGGCGAAGAAAAACTATACTTCAGGTTAGTCATTTTGTGCTGTGCTGCCATATTTTTCCTAGGTGCCTGAAATTGGAAACTTGCCCGTTTGACTTTTTGTTCAGACATGAATTCACAATCGAATGCCAAGATCTTGACAAACTCTCTTTAAATACTTTGCTAATGGATTCATCAATCTTTTGTTACTCATTGCCGTAGAAAGTTTGTAACACAGATGCGAAGCCGAGCTTCGCACCTTTTGCGATACCAGAAATTTGGCATTACTAGGATGCCTTGATTTTGAATACTCATTTATTGTCGGAGATTGTTTTTCTGAATGTTTTCCTCAAAAATAACTTCAAACTGAGTTTTGAAAGTTTGTATTTGAAGTTTTTGATTTTTTTCAATTTTTTTAGTTTTTGTTTTTCTGTCTGCCAGAGAAGTTCTTTCAGTTTTTTTTAGTCACAAAAAGTGAAAAATGAAGCCTTGTGTCTTAAACTAACTGAAATTTTGATTTAACTCAATTACAAAAAATTTGAAACATTTGGTTTTTTCTTTTTTACAAACAACTCTTTCGTCATGAATTTTGTCATGAATCTTGTCGACAACGTTTTTGTCATGAATTTTAATGGTTCTTAAGTTCCAGAGGCAAATAATATAATATACAATGGTAATAAATTGTTTTCAGGTGATTCCATTGTAGGTATTTAATAAAGTTGCAAGCCACGCCAACAATTTTACTGCCTAGGAGAGCACCATTGGACCTACAGGTCCGTTCTCTAAGTTATTGATACTGGCTGAGAAATAAATTCTCTATACTTGAAAATAAATAATGTGACTACTTAAAATAAATTATATTAGTCATCGCTAAAAAAATGAAAAAAAAAAATCTTACTAGAAAAAAAAGACAAAAAAGGATCATGGAGCTTACTTAACTAATAGAAAATTTTTTTAAGAGGTCTTCGTTATCCAGGATGTAGCTATCTAAAAAATTATTATTGAATAAGCTTACTTTGTGGACAGATGAAATTTTTATGTTTTCGACAAAAACTAGGTGGATACTTTAGAATAATGTTTAACATTTTTTTATAGCCCAACCACAATTGAGTCAGTTGGGTTTTTGTGTGACCTTGTTGGTAGTTTTCTTGCTGTACTGAGCATCTCTGAAAGATTTATCACTTCATTTTCCGTAAAGAGCTCGTTCAAAATTTGAAAAGGGCTTTCAGATCTGAGAATTTTAGACACTGTTTTCCTTAGCTCATACAAATGGAGATCCTTCGCAAAAAAAAACAATTCAATTTTCAATCTTTGAATTTCGATTGATTGGTAATTACGTGCTCTTAAGATAATTCTGAACAAGCGCTTAACTTTTTGATCAAAAAAGTCTACTTTGGTCATCTTTAAGAAGGCGTAAGCCAAAACGCCATGTAATGTAGGTTGTACAAAAGGTTTGTAATTTCTTACAAGTTGTTTGGTCGAAAGAAACTTTCTTAACCTATAAAAAAATCCGCAAGATTTCGTGACTATTTTACCGAGAAAATCAATTTGTTCATCGAAGTTCAACTATTGAACTCTTTGAATTCCAAAATAACGAGAAATTTTCTTTCGGTCAATTGGCTGAACATTTAAGTTAACAGTTTGGAGATTTAATTTTTTTCCCGTTTGGTTTGCTGAAAATTAAAGTTTTTGATTTATTCGCATCTAGTGTAAGCTTGTTTTGATTTAACCGTTGTGCTGTTTTGCTCAAACAACCTGGTGCTCTGCGTGTCTAATTTTTGTCTGTGTACATGTCCTATTTACAGTGTCGTCTGCATATATTCTAGGTTTTTTGTTTTCTTGGTTTGAGTTGAGATCATTAATGAAACTTATTAAAAGCAGTGGAACAAGAAGAGATCCTTGAGGAAAACCAAAACGAACTGCTCTTAGTTTTAAATTCGCATAATTAGTGGCTATACACTGCTTTCTATGATTCAGATAAGACTTATATAACCGACCATTTAGAGTTCTTGGTCCATATGACTTGCATTTTTCAAGAGGAGTGAGTGATCTACTGTATCGAATTCTTTTTTCAAATTTTTGAAGGTGCATTGCCAGTTTTGTTTGATTTAAAAATTTTGTCATTTAATATCAATCAGTGAAACGACTGCGTCAATTTTTCCACGAGATGAGCTAAAACCAAACTGATTTTTCTTTAGTAAGTCAAATTTATTGAAATATGATTTGATGCGAATGTATATAATTTTTTCTAGGAGCTTAACTATCACTGGAAGTAGGGCTATTGGTCAAAACTTTGAAGGATCTGCCTGTTTTCCCTCCTTACAAAGTGAAATTATTTGGCGACTTTAAAGCAATCTGGAAAAATGACATTATCAAAACAATTTTAAATTGATAAAATTGATGCATTAGCCCTTTTATCTTTTTTCAAAGTGTAATTATTTCAACTATAGAAGGCTGTGCTGAAGTTTTCTTTGATCGATTCTTATACTTTGAGAACTTCTTCTTGGCTTATTGGTATCACATACCTGGAATGTATGTACTGTTCTAGAGTTAGCAACCTATCATCCAATGTGCCGGCCAGTTTTTCGCCAACTGTCGAAAAAAATTCATTAAAGAAATTTTTTGGTATTTTCCCTTTAATTTCGCTTAAATTTTTTTTAAAAAACTTTCTTATCTGCTTTAGCTAATTGTTTTTAAATAGTTATTTTTCATTTTTTTATTCATTAAATTTTTCACCAATTACACTGTTTTCCATGCATTTTTCTGTCTTCAGATTAGCCACTACAAAAATTTATATGTTTGAGACGACTTTTCTTAGCGGCAGTTTTTATAACTTGGATATTTTTTCAGCAGTTAAGTGCTTTAACCTGGTTTTTTTTTGATATACTGGAACAAAATGATTAAGATTCTCTACCAGAATTCTTTGCAGCTCTTTAAAAGTGTTGTCGATGTTTTTTCATCAAAAGTCTTGAAACTTTTTGTGATTTAATCAAGCATAGCCTCGTTCATTTGCTGAATTGTTTTTGGATTTTCAAGGTTCAGCCATATTCTGGTCGCTAGCTGTTCTCCAAATTCTTTCTGATTTTCTCCACCGTTTGTAAGATAAACAGCGTTATGATTTTTCAATGACATATTCAGAAATTCTATATATCTGTCATGACTGCTATAAAAAAGATCTAAATAAGTTTTTGATTGGTTGGTTTCTTGGTTTCTCTCCAGGGTTTGTCCAAGTTCTGCATAATCAAACAATTTCCCGAAAAAAAAACGATTTGTTTTGTATTTCGAACTAAATAAAATAAAACTAATCACCACATATTATGTCTGTGGAGTCTGATGTCAGCATTAGAGAATCCAGATGGATCTGCAATTTTTCTTGAGTTAATTTGTTTGAATTTTTTGAAAGTGAAAAATGGAGAAAAAACCTGAGGCAAAATTTCCTAGAAATAAACAATCAAAATTAAAAAAGTACAAAAAAAACTGAGCTGTTTTATTTTAAAATTTGTTTCGATCTTTCCAATTTGGAGAAGTTGACCGATTTTTTTTCTTCAAAGTACCCCAAGTGTACCCCTATCTTGGTCTTAGCCGATCGCAATCTCACAACTTAACACAAGACTGCGTAAAGACTCATAGGCAGGGAACTTGGAAATTGTTCTCTCATAAGGAGAAAAAAGAAAACAAACGGCCGTTCTTTTAAGTAGAGAAAAAATAGAAAAAATTCTGTAAACATTTTGAAAACAAAATTTAAAAAAATCTTTAATGAAATTGAGACCTAATTTCTATAGGTCATTTTTCCACTCTAGTCTGGCAGTGATTTTACTGCAATTAACACAGAATCATAATCAAGTAAATCACTTTAGGCAAAAGATTCCAATTTTTTCAACAATTCAATCTCTAGAGACTTTGCATCCTTTTGTTCACCGGGCTTACTTGCTTCCTTAGTTTTCGTCTAGCTCGGAAAACAGCATCTTTGTCCGCAGAACAAATAAATTTGCAATTCACCTAGGGCAGGGGTCCCTTTGCATCACTCGGATATACATGACAGACTTTAATGCGATCATACGTAAGTTTAATATCGACATTTTTTTGAAGAAATATAGTTAGTCCGCTGCTACGTCTTGAGACCCTATTGCGTCAAATGGCGGGTTTTGTATCAAAACGCAGTCCCTACTTGTATATTTCTCCTGTAGCCTAAGCCTCAATTTCAAGTTTTTTTATTCTGTTCCAAAAATTCAGTTTTTTTGCCCTGTTCAGTCGCCACAGATTATTATTGCTTTATGGACATCACATACTTCAGTCTGAATATTTATAGTACTCACGACACCGCTCGTTTTCCCTCTAGGATGATTCAGTTGTCCATTTTTAACGGATAATGACAGGATATAAACAAAACCAAGTGTAATTTAAAAGTTAAAATAAAAAAAAAAATTGCTCCCTTAGAAAAACATTCGATTTTGAACCACAACTATTACTAAATTTGATAATGAATCTCAATCAAGAATCGGATTTTGAAAATTTTTAGGTTGGAATTTTATCCCAGTACTGTATTTCAAATGCTCTAGAAAAAAAATTTCAACGAGAGAACATTTTTAGGTCGACCGAATGTTTTTGAGCGAAATTGATTTTTTCAGAAATATAAGTTGGGGTTAATGTTTGAAAAACTGTCAGGTTTTTGAAAAAAAAAGATGAAGGTTGAAAAGGAAGTAGAAAACTGAGAAACTTATATGAAGAGTAAATTTCATATAGCTGACATTTTTGTATCGCAAAGCGTGCGAAGCTCGGCTTTACTTCAAAGGCTTTTTCCAAGCTATTACAATTTTTTTGGTTGGTGATCTGTATAAAATCCAAGCTAAAGACCAATTTTTAGGTGGTTTAAGTATCTTTTTCCTGCAGGGTTTCGCCACCTCACCAACCTTAAGTTCGCCCGTTTTATTTTTTCTACGACATCCGTTTTCATTGTATCGCAAGGCATGCGAAGCTCGGCTTTACTTCAAAGACTTTTTTCTAGCTATTACAATTTTTTTGGTTGGTGATCTGTATAAAATCCAAGCTAAAGACCAATTTTTGAGCAAAAGAGCCCTTTTGACCACTTTCCGGGCTTTTTGTCCAAAACCAACGTTGAACTTATGACTAAATTCAGTTTTATGTTTTTTCCTTATATTGTCTTCAGAGGAAAAGCATAAAGGTGGTTGCCAAATCGGAGGTGGTTTAAGTATCCTTTTCCTGCAGGGTTTCGACAGCTCACCAACCTAAAGTTCCCACGTTTTGTTTTTTCTACGACATCCGTTTTCGGCCATTGACGCCAGCATATACTAATTTACACTCATTTTTATAATTCTTTCTGTCTCCAGAATTGCCACTACAGTTATATATTGGTTTCAGACAATGTTTCTCAGCGCAAGCATTTTGAGCTTAGTTTTCTATCCAGATACTAGCTGTTTCAACTGTGGGTTTAATTTGATATACTGAAACAAAGTGATTAAAACTCTCTACAAGACTTACTTCTCTGCAGCTCGTCAAAAACGGAGGTGCTTGAATAGCCTCGTTTCTTTGCTTGTTTGTTCTTAGATTTTTCAGTTTTAGCCACTTTCTGGTCGCTAGCGGTTCTCTGAAATCTATCTGATTTTCTCCACCGTCCGTAAATTTAACAGCGTAACGATCTGTTAAAGGCGTTTTCAGAATTTCTCTATATTCGACATGACTGCTAAAAAAAGGTCTAAACAAGTTTTTGATTGGTTATTTTCTCTCGTGGGTGTGTCCGAGTTCAGCAAAAATTAACCATTTCCCAAAAATACCGATTTTTTTTGTTTCTCGAGCTAAATTGAAGTTAAAATCAATCACCACAGACAATGTGTTATATTTTTGATGTCAGCATTAGAGAGTCCAAATGGATCTACAATTTTTGAATTGGTTTGTTGATGTGGGTGGAATATAGACTACCGTTAAAACAGTATGACTTTTTGTTTTTAAAAAGCAATAGTTAAAACTTGAACGTTTTTAACCGTTAATTTGCCTGTACTTTTGGTCTTCCCGTATGATACACCAACCCCGCCTCCCCTTGTTTCTGCAGTTTTTTTCAACTGTTTATGGCCCTCGAGGTTGAAAACTTTATATCTGGGTCATTTTTTCAGCCAAGTTTCGGTTAAACATCTTGCCAATGGCGTTTCCTTAGAACTGTAAAACAGAACTTAGTTTTCATCAAATTTTTTGAGAGCGAAGGTGTATTTCGCAATTTAAATGAGTCCATTTTTCCCAGATTTTGAAGTTACTAACTCCGATAAGTCCTTGGTAATCCTATGAATTCTTATCTCAGCTTTTTTTCAATTTTGCAATTTTTTTGAAGTATAATTCCAAAAACAAAATGTTTGTTGGGTGATATTATTTCCTTCAGCAGTTCAAAAAAACTGAATTTAGTTCAAAAAAATTTTAAATACTATTTCTTTCTATTCCACTTTTAGTTAATTACCCTTAGTTTTTTCTATTGTCCTTGATGAGTGAAAAAGTACAAAAAGCGAGAAACAAATTGAGAAAAAAATATTCTAAAAAAATCAAAAATGAAAACAAATCGAACAAAAAATTTTGGCTGTTTTAATTAGAAGTTCGTTTTGATCTGCAATTTAGAAGAGAAACTGACTGAATTTGTTTCTCCAAGGCATCTAAAGTGTATCCCTGTCTTGGTCTTAGCCAGTCGCGATCTCACAACCTAACATAAGACTGCCTGCGGACTCATAAGCAGGGAACTTGGAAATTGTTTTCTTTTAAGGAGAAAAAAAGAAAACAAACAGCCGTTTTTCTAAGTAGGGAAAAAGTACAAAATTCTGTAAAAAGTTTTAAAAAGAAAGTTAAGAAAACTTTAGTTAATTTGAGACCTAACTTCCATAGGTCATTTTTCCGCTGTAGTCTGGCAGCAATCTTACTGCAATTAACACAGAATCATAAGCAAGTAAATCGTTTTAAGCAAAAGATTCCATTTTTTTCAACAGTTCAATCTGAGGCTTTGCATCCTTTTGTTCACTGGGTTTACTAGTCTCCCTAGTTTTCGTCTAGCTCGGAATACAGCATCTTTGTCAGCAGAATAAATAAATTTGCAAATCACTGAGGGCAGGAGTCCTTGAGGGCAGGAGTCCCTGCGTCACTCGGTAAAATATGACAGGCTTTTATGAGATCATACGTAAGCTTAATGTCCACAAATTTTTAGAAAAAATTTTCTTTGTCCATCGTTATTTTGTGAAACCTCCTGGCATCAAAGCGTGGGTTTTATATCGAAACGCAGTCTTTACTTGTGTATCTCTCCTGTGCTCTAAGCCTCATATTCAAGTTTTTTTGATTCTGTTCTAAAACTTCAGTTTTTTTGGTCTGTTCAGTCGCCAGAACCCGCAACTTTTTTTTTCTTACTGAACACAACATACATCAGTCTGATTTTTATGGTACTCACGACACCGCTCACTGTTCCTGTAGGATAATCCAGTTGGTCCATAGTTAACAGATTTTGACAGGACATAAACAATAACAAAAGTAAGGTAGAAGTTAATTTAAAAAAAAACTGTATTGCTCCCTTAGAAAATTACACAACAAATTTGAATTCGATTGGTATAATCAATTGGGAAAAGGGGATTTTTTTTGAGGGGGTCTGAGATTCTACTTCTGTATTCAAATTTCAGCCACAAGTATTTCTAAATATGATATTGGATCTCCAACAAGAATCGGAACTTGAATCTAATTTTTATCTCAGTGTTGCATTTCAAATGCTCTCGAGAAAGTTTTTTTAAGCGAGAAAACGCTTCAATGTCAACCGACTGTTTTTATGCAAAATTAATTTTTTGCAAAAATATGAATTGAGGTCAATTTTTAAAAAACCGTCAGGTTTCTTGAAAAAAAGGATGAATGTTGCAAAGGATGTAGGAACTTGAAAAAAAAATAGAGTTATTTTCATATAGTTTATATATTGGTATCGCAAAGGTTGCGAAGCTCAGCATCCCTTCATGACTTTTTCCTTACTGTTAGGATTTTTTGGATGGTGATCTATATAAACTTCAAGCAAAAAACAAATTTTAAAGCAGAAAAGCTTTTTTGATCACTTTCCGGGCTTTTATCCAAAACCAACGTTGAACCAATGACTACGTTCAGATTGATGTTTATTGTAGATTTTGGCTTCAGAAGAAAAGTTTAGAGCAGGTTGTCAAATTAGGGGCGGTTTAATTGTCCTCTTCCTCCAGGGTTTCGATGCCCTCACCAACAAAAAGTCCCCCCTTTGATTTTATTTTACGACGTTCCTTTTTGGCCATTTACGCCAGTGTATACTAATTTTGAAGTGGAGCGTGGGTCGAAATGAAACATTTTTTGGAAAGAAAATTTCCAATAAGTGCCCAAAAACGGCATTTTCAATCGTTTTCACAAAACTTTTATACTCGTCAAATCAATTTGGTCGACCAAAAAAACGTCGACAAACTTTTCGAAAACTACAACTCAAATACATTAACTCCAAATTTAACCTCTGTAGTCCTGGTCGAAATTAGGTTTTGCTTTTCTGGAGCTACAAACTATGTCTCTCCTTTTAGTGGAAAATGTCAAATTATGGTGTCAAATTTTTTGCTTAGTCAATTCCTCGAGACCGTTCTCATCTTCCGCCCTGTGAAGGAGCGGGACGTGAACAACCCGGACAAGGTGAACAGTCGCATAAACAAAGTGCGGTTTGCCTATCGCATGTATGACCTGGACAACGACGGGTCTATATCAAAGGATGAGATTCTGGGCGTGTTGGTGATGATGGTGGGGCCACATGTGGATAAGGAACAGCTGGAAGAGATAGCGGAGAGGGCCATGAGAGAGGTAGGTTAACGCAATTTTGAACCCCCCCCCCCCACCCCAAAACTGAGTCTATATACGAGTTTTACGTTTGGTTTAGTTTTGAAAAAGATGAGTGCTTTAATTCGCTGTCTTTAATCCTCTTTGGAAATTTCAACGGAGATACACGTTGATGCATCACTATTGGCGATTAAAGACGAACTGATGACATTGTGTTTGTTTTTTAGGTGGACGATGACGCAGATAACACGATGAGCTTCGAGGAATACGCAAAGATCATGGAACGCGTGGCAGTCGAAGAGAAAATGAGCATCAAATTCTTGGAATGAACTAATTTAACAACACAAATCAATCAATTTTCAACATAGGAAGGACAACCGGTCGCTGAGCAAGTAGCACAAAAGGTTCCGACCATATTTTCAAAACCTACTCAAAACAAATGTTTTTTTTCTATGTTGTGTCGTTTTTTTGTGCGTGGTGTGATGAAAGGATCTCAACCACAATTTAAAACTGAGGCATAATCGACAGTCATAGTAAAAAAGGGAAAATTTGACAACAGTTTTCGTCAAAAAAAATACTCAAAAAAAACAAAACAGCATTCGAATTTTTTTTTCGAAAAAAAAGTCGAAATCGTAGAAAGCCACTCCTACTTTATTTTAGCGCTACCACCGTTAAAAAAATTTCACACAGAAGACATTATCAAAGTTTCACCCGATGAATGAAGCAAATGAATGGATTCTTTCTTTTGACATATGCTCGATTAAACTATTTGAAAGAAGCTAGCTGGATCAAAACTTGAGAAATCTGGTTCTGATAGCGTAAACTAGCCAGTATAGTATAATTATTTTAACAAGTAATAAGTTTCATTATACTAGATAAATAGTTTGATTATAACTAGTTTTTTTTGTGGAAACATTTTCGCAAACAATACAACCAGATTTCTCAAATTCTCATCCAGGTAGCCAATTTCATGAAGTTTCATTTAGCATGCGTCAATTTTTAAGCCCTATATATTAACACAAAAGCGAAGCTTTGCTTCGCAAGCACTAGCAAAAACACGACAAACATTTCGAGGACAAACTGTGCACTGGATAGCTCGAGACACCATTCATTGGAAAACGACTTCCTTAACCTACAAGGCGTGAAAGGGATCAGGCGACGCATCATCGCATTTTTTTTTGTTCAGGACTACACTCATGTATTTGTCACTTTGATAACTGCTGCAGAATTCGAAATACTCAATGCAATGACTCAATTTTAGGATTCTCAGTAGGAAAAGCCTGGAGATGCAGACTCTGTGATAATCATCTGAGGGACACTTATCAATTACTTCATTGCGAGAATCTATGTGAGACATCGTTTCAGAGAGTAAAAGCAGTTTTCTGGATAAATTCAGACGCCGCCTTCGGATCCTAACAAACATTTCCAGACACTCAGACGCAGCTCTACCATATCCACTCTATCTGACTCAATTTGGGACTATCTCGACGTCTCTGGGTTGATTTATCGCATTTCTACCATATTCACTCTATCCGGATCAATTTGGGACCAACCCGACGCCTCTGGGTCGATTTGTCGCATTTCTATCAAATTCACTCTATCTGGGTCAATTTGAAACCAACCCGACGCCTCTTGGTCATTCTGTCGCATTTCTACCATATTCACTCTATCTGGATCAATTTGGGATCAACCCGACGCCTCTAGGACGATTTGTCGCATTTACACCATTTGGGCCCACCAAGAAGTCTCTGTGTCGAAATGTGACAGCTCTTATTTTTGTACATGAAGACCTATTTTTTTGTTTTATCTATGTATTTCTTGAACTCTATTGATACTTTTCATATTTTCATACTTGTATTATTGTCTTTCAAAAAGACTTGAATTTACACTTCTTCTTCTTCAAAATGAGCCGGGTCAGTTAGTTTATATGGGAAGAGCAAGTTTAAAAAATAAAAGACAAAATGAAGAACAAGGGAAAAAGCTGACCGACTGGTCTCAAAAATCGAGAATTCGAGAATAGATGGCGTTAAAATGTGAGAAGGTGTAGAAATCTCATTTCACATTTTTTCACTCAATGAATGTCTAAAATGCAAGATCTCTGGACGCCAAGAAAAGGTCATCACGAGGATTGGTGCAACATAGGAAACCAACAAACCAATAATCAGTTGCCACAAAAAGCAAGCTCCAATAAAACCAGTAACAAGAAAAACGATGACGAAACAACAAATGATAAGGCTTGCAATGGCAGCTAAAATTAATGGAAAAATGTCGAACGACTGCCATCTAAAATTTTGGTTGATGAATAAAACAAATAAAGCAGCAACTCCAAGCGAAAAAAAAACAAAAGGATGAGCTTCTCAACAATCAGATCGAAACTATTCATAATCACTCTTCCGAGGCAAAAAAAAAACATTTTAAAAATCGAAAATTACAAAATTGAGATTGCGTTAAAATTGTATAATCAAACAAACGTTTTCGATTTTTTTGTGCATCTTCAGGTTTTAAATATCTAAACTATCTGTACAAAATTATCAAAAATCATGAAAACGTCATACACATCTTTATTTCAAAAAAATTAAACCGATCACGTTTTCACAATTATCACAAAATTATGTAACAACTATTATATAACAATTTTATTCATTTAGTCACAAACTTCTGAGAATTTTCACCTTTTTTGTCGTTACAATTTTGTTTTGTCGCTAATTTCATGTTAACATGTAGGTTGTTTCAATATTTTTGTTTCAGCCAAAATTTTTCGATTCTGGAACTATAGCCTTAGTTTCAGCTCCCTACTTCTAAACTGGTCGCGCCGTTCTCTCTTTCCTAATGTGCAGCACCTCTAAAGTAAGTAACTTAATGCTGCTGAACGCCTGCTCGATTATCTTCCAATTAAACTGCAACTCACCGTTATCACTACTACACTGCCTTATATGCTGTCCAACCGGAGTATCCTCTTTTCGGTAACTTTCAATCCTTGTGGTGAGATGTCGGACCGTCTGGCCAACATAGATGGATTTGCACCCACAACATTCAAGTTTGTGCACCACTTTTGATTTCAGTTCACTGGAAAAGGAGGATTTTAAAGGGGGCACACAAGTTCTCTTTTTCCTCGTCGTAAATATATCTCCGCATTCGTGATATCGCGCACTTTTTTTTGCTAATGTCTGACTGTGATTCCCCCAATATTGAATCATTAAGATGGGTGGTGAATCGCTGCTATAATCACAGGGCTTCTTTTTCTCAGCCATCTTCTTTTTGGTTTTTGCGCTCCCTGATGATCTTTTCAAGGGCTTGCGATGCAACCCGCGACGACCAACTTTCCGGATATTGCTTATCGAACCACTGTTTACGGTTGATTTTCATCGATTTATCATTATCTTTCCATGTTGACGTACTGCGGAAAACCCGGTGAACAGTTCCTTCAATCACACTTCTTTTGTACTGAAGGGGAAGCAACTTCTAAAATTTAGCATGGTACCTGTATCTGTTGGTTTCTGATGCCACCCACAGTTATTTTTCCTGTTTTTATCATTACTAAAGTTTAAATCCAAAAATGCAAATGTCCCATTTGTGTTTGGTGTCTCTACTGTGAACTGTAAATTTTGATGTAAAAAATATGCTGCCCGTAGCACTTTTTCAGGATCACCCTTCATTTTTCTCACTATGTCGTCAATGTAACGGAGAAAAAACTTAGCTTGCTGCACTGACTTGTTTTTCTCCATTATCGCGATGCATTTTCTACAGAACCAGACAATTTCACTTATATTTCGATACTCATCATCTGATAAATCACCGCATTTTACGTGATACCAGTTCAAGCAGCAATCATATTCTACACCTTTTGACCTGTACCTGACCTTCTTATTGCACTCGGGACATGTTCCATTGAGATCTTTTTCGATTATAAAATTTTCGTGAATATCCCTCGATAGTCCAGTTTTGTACTGCTCCAGCCAAAGATTTGCCAAAATAACAGCAAGAGATGCCCCCACTGCCAAACCATCTTTCTGAAAGTACCATGTTTCATTGCCCTTGAAATGGACATGACTAGCTGCCATGTGCATCAGTCTTTTCTTGGTATTTCTAGCAATTGACTGTGGTTCATCTTGCTCAAACAGTTCTCTCAGAGCTATGTCTATTGCTTCTTTGAGTGGAACATTTGTATACAAACTCTCTCTTCACACCTAGAAATATCACATTTGCATTGGGCTCGAGGCTAATGCTCTCTAAAATTTCTTTTGCTTCTAGTGATTTGGTTTCGAAGTTTGCGCCCTCAATTTTCTCGAAAAACTTTGCAAGAACCTTGTTCATTTATAATAGGGGCTACCAGGCAATGAAAGGACCGGTCTCACTAGGTTATTTTTTAAGCACCTTTGCCAACCCGTAAAGCCTGGTGGGATTCCCCCAGTAGACCTCATCCTTGTGTAGAGCTTTTCACTCATATCGTCTTTTTTCCTCATAGCCAACAACTCCTTTTTGATATCTTTTCATATCTTCATAACAATCGCATCACTTGTTCTTTTGCTTTCGCTGAACTGATTTGAATCCAATATATCAGATAACTTGTTTTTGTAGGTAACCTTCCTCATTACACAAAAATCCACACTTTTGTCATACAGTACCGCAACTAATCCATTAATCTTCAGATACTTTCGGGCCATCTCAACGCTTTTGTCAGATGGTGTTTGTTTCACTTTTTTAGCATTGGCTTTTGCCTCTGCTTCGATGTCACAAAGGGCCTCCCTAAAAACTTTACGATTTTTGAGATCCGAAAGAAAGATGTCAATAACAGCGAGAAAGTGTGTCTCATTAAAATTATCCCTGACAGGATGTTTCGGCCCTAATGCCAACACTTGTTGTAACCAATTTGGTAATTCAACATCATCAAGAGATTTTACTGAACCCTCACCATGCTTCCCTAGAGGGCGGTCTGGCCTTTCTGATAATTTCATTAGCTTCTTTTGATGGGTCTCTTTAACTGTTGTTGTTTGTCTTTGTCCCCTGAGACTTAAGTATTTCATCTTAAGTCCTCTGTGCTGCGCCTCTCGCCCTTTCTAGTTTGCCTTCGACGTTTTTCTCATCTGTCCTGGCTTTGTTAATTTCCGTTCTTAGAAGTTTTGTCCGGTTCCTGACATCTGGTGTACCGTTTCTCTGACGGTATACAATTGCGCTGTTATTTGTCAGTGTTTCAGGATTTCTGCCAATTTTTCTGCAGTGCAAGCTCTGTAATTGTTCCCGCGACTGTTGATAAATGTTTTGATGATGTCGTGCCACACCACCACTTGACGTTTTTCTGCTAGAATTTTCCTGCGGATTAGGCTTGCGGGGTTCTTCTGTGGGTTCGTGGCGTTCGGGTTTGAGGAAAGTCCCGGAATAGCCAGTATTTTGGGCAAAAAATGTTATTTTTCCGGGTTGCCAAGTTGTTCCAGGCTGTAGTAGAGGAAGTTAGCCGCTACAATGTAGACCATTTCAATTCTGACATGGCAAAATATAAAAAGATCATAAGATCGAAAGATTTTTCCACTAAAAAAGGAAAAAATAAAACTACGTCTCCTTGTAGGAAAGACTGTAATTGAAAATTGGCTCAACGCCGTCGGTTTAAAAAATTTACATCTAAATAATTTGAGAATGTGTTTAAATTGTTATTTCAAAAAACGTTTTTGCACATTTTTGTGCATCTTTAGATTTATAAGATCTAAACTATCAGTACAAAATGATCAAAGATCATACAAAGTGTCATACACATCATTATTTCAAAACTTACAAAATTTAACCAATCAGAACTTCACAATTATTAATAAAATTATGTAACAACTATTATGTAATATTTTATTCATTTGGTCACAATTTTCTGAGAGTTTCCACCTTTTCTGTTTTTACGATTTCGATTTGTCTATAATTTCATGCTAACATATAATTTATTTCAAAAAATTTTTTAAAGAAAATTTTTCGATTGTAGAAATGTAGCTTTTTACCCAAAAAATCCAGAAATTAACAAACAAACACCACGTCAAGACGTACAAGAGGCGCTACAGTCACTTGAAAGGTACTGTGAAGATAACCTGATAACAGTGAATGTCGAAAAATCCAAAGCAGTCAAGTTCAGAAAAGAAAGTAGATTGAGCGCTGATGACGATTGATCTACAAAAATATGGAAATCGAATTTGTCCCGTAGTTCTGTTACTTGGGTATCACTTTCAGCTCATCTTGACAAGTTAGTCAAAAAGGGTAGAACCAGCACGGGAACGCTTTGCCAAAAACTCAATCCCCAGGAGATCTCTTTGCAATCGGCGACGAGGCTCCTCAATGGCGTGGTAGTACCCACAGTCTGGTAGTACCCACAGTTTGGCCTCGTAATTAAGCAGCTCTAGAAAGGGCAATAAGGAGAAATAGAAATAATACTCGTAGCAAAAAGTCGGCTAGGTCTAGGATTCGATCTGCGACTTAATGCAATCTACAGGTTTTGAGTCTCACGCTCTAACCACTCAGCCACGCGTGATTAACCACCGACATACACTAGTCATGAATAAAGCAGCTGCATATGCTTAAAAATTGTAAATGCGATTCAGCAAAACAACTCAAATAAAGATACTCATTTTTGCCAGTAATAATTTGGAAGATAACAAACTGAAGGCATCCACACTAAACTTGCATGTAACAAACTAAAAAAACCTGTAGCCACAATACGTTTAATTTATGCATTTCAAAACAACAAGATGTATGGAGTTAGAAAAATTCTGATATCAAATTTTATAATGTTGTCTAAAAAATGAAGTTATTTCGGATCATTTGAAATAAAATTTCATCAACTTTGTTAAATTTTTACTAATCGAATGTTAAAACAAATGCTATCAAAAACCTGTAAAGATGTCCCAAAAGTGGCACCAATATCTGTGAATTAGGTTCCAAAAAAACACTAAGCTGACACTGGTGTAAATCGATAGAAAAGCGACAAAAACATTGAAGAAAACTCGTTCACTTGCTCGTTGAAGTCAAAAAGATTCCACTTCTATGTCCCGTGATCCGTCTACGTCACTTCAGTGATGGGAAAAATCTACGGTTTTCAATTGTAGCATGTGCGCCTTGGTACCGGTTTGATACAATTTCAGTGATTTTTCTACATACTCGGCTTAAAAAGTTCCGACTTGCAATATTACGGCTTCATATTGCATGGTATGATAAAAAAAGAATTTTGTGTGTGGGTAAGGTTTTCTTAAAATGTTCTTAAAATTTTGGCTAGTTTGCCATGCAATGTTTGTGTTGAAAAACAAGTGTTGGGGCTATCCGCTTTGTTTTTCTCAAGAATGTCAATGTCATATCATTAAAATAAATCTTTTGCTCTTGGAAAAAGAAGAACAAGAGAAAACTTACTACGATCAAAATTTTAGTGTTTTCTTTTTCAATTTTTTTGTTCTTTTGAACTTGCTGACTGCAATCATTGTCGTCGGAATATTCTAAGTTAACTTCACAGAAACTGGTTGTTTTTATTCTAGTGCAATTGTTTTGGAGGATGTGTGGTAATTTCGCAAAAGGTTAGAACCCTGAAAATTTTCCGCCGAGGTAATTATTTCTCAAAAAGAACCGATGTTCAAAATCACAGGAACTTCAAATACGACAAAGACAATTTTAACTATATAACTGTACCAGAGCATAACTAACCAGACTGCTCGTATTAAAGGGATAAACTCTGAATGATTCGACTGCCCTCTATTTTCGATCACAAGCTTTTTGGTTTTAGAAACATTTTTTTACACAATTCGAATATTTTTTCTTCCGGTTACTTTGAAGAAAACGGCGGAAAATTTGTGCTCGTGGTGTTTTTTTTCTTCACTTTTTCAAAAATCGTTTTGGCGGATTTTTTATAGCATCTGAAAGGTTTTTATTGTCCTGAGCTCAACTTAAAAAATTTTTTCACCTGTGATCAACTTTTGCAGTGCTGTGGGGGGTTTAAAGAACGCCAATTTGAGAGAATATACGCGCGATTTATTTCGTGTGATTCATGCGTTAACAGACGTTTGATCCGTCTTAGAAGAGAGTCGCAATATTTAAAAGTTTGTCTGACACGAGTAATTTTGTTTATAGACACTGACAATAAAGCCCAGATGCAATCGATTTTTATCCGAGGAATTCTTGTGCGGGAACGTTCTCACGTTGATTCCTCGTTGTGTTAATGAAGAGTATTTAGAATTACTTGGATTGGAACAATCATTTTTGTTTTGTTTTTGCGCTGCGTTTGAATATTGCCTTAGCTGTATTTGAATGTCTTGTGTTGAATTTGAACGTCCGTTAATTCTTATTGACAGCTTGTTGAATTTGAATTTCAAATAACTGAACTTGATTGTTCAGAATGACGTATTTCAAAATCATAAGGTATAATATCTGTTCAGAGGAAAAAAAGTTTGAAGTTTTTGTTTGTCTTCCACTTATTCAATGTTTCAATTGCGTCATTTCGATCCTTCTTGTCTTTCACAGTGTGAGCTTCAAAGCGACTCGCCTTTTCCATCCAATAATGCGCTTCTTTGAACTGTCCTAGCATCTCGTATGTCTTGGCCATCGCAAACTGGTTGCGACACATGAAGTTCGGCTTCAGATTCTCTGCAGATGAGAAGTGGAGGAGTGCCTCTTCGAAGGAGGATTTGGGAAGGGAGACAAACAACCCTGCGATGGATTTCACAGTGGATGGAATCACACAGGCCACGAAACAGACAGAACTGAAAAAAAAATATGTTCCACGTCTTGTTCAGACTTGCGAAGAAAGTGACAAAATAATTGTGCTGGGGAAGATTTTTCCAAACAAATTCCGACTTTTAGCTGAACGTTTTGGACAGAGTTTTGGACAGAATAATCCGGCTCAGAAATCGCTCCAAATTGAACTGAGACAAATCAATTGGTCTCGCATAAGGCGTTACTAGATAAGAAATATATAAAACCAGCACTGCAAAAAAAATATCTCTCAAACAGATCCCTGAGAGTATCGACCACATTCAACCAGCTATGCAGTTGCGTTTGGTAAAAGGGTGAAACTGACCCGTAGAAGTAGTGTGCCTCGGGGTCATCTGGGTTCAGTTCACAGGCTGTCTTCAGATGGTTGTAAACTCTGTTGGAGTTTGCCAGCTTCTCTCTTTTGCCAAGGTTCGCCTCAGTCAATGCAATTCCCATCATCTTATGAGCTGAGCACATTCACAAATACAGGGTTAACATAGCAGGTCATTCGCTTCACTTGGGATACAACGCAAGCGTATCATGGCAAGCTAACGTATAGAAAATGAGACGGCAATCATTTAATCGATTAAAATTTGTTAAAATAAACAAAAATTTGGAAGAAAAAAAATCAATTTCAGAAAAACAAGCTAGAAGCATAACCGCCAGCATTAAATAAGCTTTTAGTATCGGTCATCGAGCAGCCATTAAACTGAAAATACGTGGATAGCATCCCATTGAGGCGAAAACAAAAAAATGCCATACGATATCATTGTTAAAAAAAATTTTGAGCGGTTAAGTTTTGAAACTTTTACACCACAACCGTCCAAAAAAAAATAGAACAAAAAAAAATCTATTCTTGTCCTTCCAACGACATAAAATAAGTTGACAATGCCGATAAAAATAAAAAGATCGGCATTCGAAATCGGAATGATAATCTGCCGAAAAAACAGGACGACTGTTCAATTTCATACCAACTAAAAATTTGACCGATACTGCTACTGGGAAAAACTGAATGAGTAAAATATTGAGTCTAGATAATTTCTAAGTGACGCACGCCAACTATCAGTCTACTTACTTGCTAATTGACGCAAGCCAAATATGACGCATTAGCAGTACCAGTTAAATAATAAAAAAAGAAATTTACCAATAACATGCCTCAATTTATAGAGCGTACGCATTTTAACTAGTATACGAAAAAGTTCATTAAAACCCTCTTATTTTGTTGCGGGTTTCCTTCCCTACTTCAACGCTACAGATTCATGACACCTTGAAGCTAAAGTAATATTTGTAATATAATAGTCTGTGTTCAAATCCTTAGAATTGGCTGTACTTAATAGCTGGTTATTGATCTTATGCATATACTGCAATAAAAGAACACTTTCAAAATGAACACTAATTTTTGCGACTTAGCAACACTAATTTTCTTAATTGTTTAATGTGGCATTATGGTTAAATATGCATGATTATACAATGTAAGGTATAAAAAACAAATATGTTCACCGTGATAATTTTTATAATACGTGGTAGTTTTCAAAAACATCTTTCAAAATGAACACAAATATTTGCGATTTAAGTTGGAAAAAAGCAAGTTCATGCGATCACATGAGCTTCGCTTGTATAATAATGAGTATAGAAAAAATTGTTTACGGGGAATGAAGTCAAGTTTCAGATTACAAGAAGCTTGCAGTCGCAAGTCAAAATTGTCTTTAAAAGTATAAAAAGCAAACTTTCTTCACGAAAAACAAAGCTGTCACTACTTTTTTCAGAAAATATTAAAAGCAGAAATGGGTCCATGTCCGGCAATGAGAAAAGTCGCCCAAAAACACGTCCATCAAAAAGAGAGAGACAGAATTTTTAATTTTCTTAGTTGTTTAACATGCCATTATAGCTTAAACTGCGTTATTATACCATGCAAGGTATAAAGACAAATATTTCAACCGTGATAATTTTTATTGCATTATGACAACGCTAAAATAACTTTAAACTTTGAAATTCGAATACGAGGGGAAAATTGAAAAAAGCCGAACTTCTCTCCATGAAACCTTAGATAATTCATGACACTGCGGCAAACCTGACTTGACCATAATTGTTTCACGGAAAAATTTATATGATTTTTTTTTTCAATTCTAAGCACAATCCTTTTTTGCTAATCAAAAAAAAAAAGAACCATCATATTTTCTCACAAACATGTAAATTCAAAATAACCGCTTGGTTAAACACACATGCAGCTACAAAATGGGATTGTCATAATAGGTTAAAAATCAGCAACCATACCGGCGTGTAAATATACAAATACAACTTGTATAAATCAAAATGAAAAAAAAACAATACTAATATTAGATATGAAATAATCTCGAAAAGAACTAATGGATCTGTCAATAGCAATTTTTTAGTGTATTTCTTTTAAAAAATTTTCAAGTTCAAACTTAAATTTTTGTTTAGCTTTAAGTTTTCTCAGCTTCACGTTTAAATTGTTCCATTTATTACAACTATTGCTTAAGACAATTTCTTTCCCTAATTTGTTTTCAGGAATCTGTTTTGTTTTACTTGTTTTGTGCGTTCGCTTAGTTTCACAGGTACTCTGTTATAGATGAACTGTCTATTAATTCAATTTTTCTCAATATTTTTCACCACATCGAACATCCAGCCAAGCTGTGCTGGGTGAGAAAAGGTTCGACTGGTAAGACCTTAGATTTGAGAAGTAGATCTCGTGAATGATCATATTTTCTGCGGAGATAGCACACTTCGATTCCCTGTTAATTTGAGACATGGGTAGATTTTGAAAAAATGCTGAGCTCAAAGATAAATGTGGCAAAAATAGTGATCTGGAAAGCATAATTCTTGTTTCTAATGGTACCATGTGTCGAACGCAGTATATTGACTTAATTGCAACAACCATTTTGCTTAAACATTTGTTCCATTCATCTGAAAAAGTAAGATTTTTGTCCACTAAAATTCCAAGATACCTGGCATGTAACTTTGCGGGTATTGTTTTTTCTCTAGAAATTTTTTTTCGAAAATATTCTCTTCCCTAAAGACATTAAGTTCCGTTTTATCAACATTGAGGACAATTTTTTTCATTTAAATAATCATGTACTTTTTCTAGTGTTTCGAGCATTGAGGTTCTTAGATCCTGAATTGAGTTTCCTGTACATAAAATACTTTAAACATCTGCAAATTGCACTTAAATCATGTTCCGGTTGATTTGGTTCTTAAAATCATTTATATGAAAAATGAAAACTAATGTTCTCAAAACAGTACCTTGTGGAACGCCATGATTAAGTGTTATCCAGTCAGAAAAATGATTTCGAAGTTTAACACATTGTTGATGGTCTCTAAAAAATCGTTTAGGAGATTCGATGCATTTTTGGAAAACCATACATTTCAATTTTTTCAAGAAGATTTCAAGCGAAATGGAATTTAAAGCTTTAGCAAGATCTAGAAAAAGTGCATTTGTTCTTCTTGATTGATCCATGTTTTCACAAACAATTTCGGTTAAAGTGATAACTGCATCAGTTGCAGATTTAATTTCCTTAAATCCGAATTGGTAGACGTTTAATAACGAATTTTGTTTCAGATAATCCATAAATTGGTTCAAAAGCAAGCGTTCAAAAATTTTTGAAAGCGTGTTTGCCACAAAATGAGGCCTATAATTTGATGCAACCTGTGTTTTACCTTTTTTGAAGACAGGGGTGATGATATATGCTTTTTTAAGGCATGACGAAAACTTGTATTATAATTTCATTTTTTGCGAATTGGAGGTGTGTTATTGCAAAATCCGATAGCAAGTTTAGCTTGTTGAAGGCAAAAAGCTTGTATACCATTGGCCCTAGAGATTTATTCAACGAGGAATTATCTATTTCTTCCAAAAATTTTTTTCTTGTGACGCAACGAAAATCAAATACAGCATTAGTAATTTCTTTTGTTTTTCTGGGTATATGTTCACAATTGAAAACGCCTAACTTTGAAAAAAAAACTTGATTCAGATGATTTGCTATTTCAGTAACAACTTTTTTTTTGCCAATTTCCATATTTAATTCGCTTATAGTTACTGACTTTTGGTTGCTCTTTTTTCCCTAGTTTTTTGTTTATGAAATCCCATTGTTCTTTCATGTTGGAAAGCTGCTAAAAATTTTCCCTGTGATATTTTTGTGAAGCAATTTCCAATTTTCGGTTGACCAAATTTCTAACCTCTTTGTATTCTGTGCGCTACCACACAACCAGTGTTTTTCAATATATTGAAACACCTATGTTTAATGTTTATCAGAGTTATCAAGGATTTATCAATCCATGGTATTTTTGGTTACCGGTTTTTGTGCTATATGGAGCATGTGCACTTATAAATTTTTCAACAATAAGTCCAAATTTCTCAATTGTTTCTAATCCCGAGGATTTTTTATACATTTCTGATCAATCAAAAATTGCAAGGTCTGAATTTTCCCCGATTAAAATTATGACAACCTCTTGTCTCAAATTCAATGATGTCATTTAGTGGCTTGCAAGAAAATTGCTTCATATGTAAGCATATAGTGGTCTGTGTTGAATGGCAATTCGTAGAACTAACAAAATTTATTTGGTTGTGGGAAACTAAGCAATGGGCGATAAGTGAGACATTATTCTGTTACACGTGATGGTTTAGTAACGTTTGACATTGCTAAACCACAACTTACAGCAAAGTCGCAAAGTTTTGATGACACGTCTTGTTTTAAAAGATCTATATTGTAGTCTCCAAATACAAAAACTTTCAAACGCTTGAGAAATTTGAGCACCTAATTCTTCAAAAAAGTACTGAGAGAGGTTTTTTCTTGAGCAATACAAAACACTAATCAAAGTTTTTTGCATACTTGATGACTCAGTTTCAACCCATAATGACTAAAAAAACTTTCTGCCAGCAGTCATGAGATCTTTACATATGCATTTTGAATGATAAAGGAGTCCAAATTCCAAGACCTGCCCCTCTTTTAAGACCTGTGCTTGCGGAGCGTGGAAGATGAACAAAATAATGCCTTGAGCTAAGAAAAGTGTTTCATTCTAATTTGTTATTGAGCCATGTTTCTGTTGCTACAACTATAGTGTTCATCGAAAATTCATCTGAAAAATCGACAATTCCATATTTGTTTTGCAAGCTTCTGAAATTTATCAAGCAAAAATTGACTGTCTTGGATTCACTTTCAGTTTCGAAAAAACGTTCATAAGATAGTTCTTGCAGTTCATGAAAATGACCAGGATTTTCCTCAATGTCTCCTGAAAGGACTAATTTGGGTTTTTTACCATACGCAAAAAACTTAAGTTGAAATACTACAATAGTACATACAGATATAAATAAGTCCGGTACTTAATTGTGTTATTTCCCTTGAGTGGTTGAAGGTTTGAGTAAATAAAGTTTAGCAAAAAAGGTTGTTTTTGTTGTTCAATTCCTGAGCCAAAAACACAAAAAACTGAAAAAGCGGCAAAAAAAATTCAAATT